GAGTCCATATTGGACGCTAGGCTAGGAACAGCTGGAGCACGGAGCAAACGGAGCTAGGAGCGAGGAGCGCCAGGTGGGACTAGGCGAGGTACTGCTGGAGCACGGAGGAAAACTGAGCTAGGAACGCCAGTCTAGTAACGAACGGAGCTGGGAGTTAGCTGACCTAGGAGCACACGGCTGGAGGAGGCAGGGCTGACGAGCCGATCGAGGAGCCAGAGGGTCGTTCGAGGGGCTGGCGGAGCGAGGAGAGACCTAGCTAACAACGAACGTCAGGACTAGCCTAAACAGCTAAGCGGAGCGGCCTCCAGCCGCGACGGTGCGAAACACTGTGAGTATGAGTGACGCGAGTGTCGAACCAACGGAGGTCGGGTGGTCCTGGGTGGTGTGCGCGCGTGATAAGGGGATGTGAGCGTTTGGAAGGGGCTCTGAGCGGTTGGAAGGGGCTGTGAGCGGTTGGAAGGGGCTGTGAGCGGTTGGAACGGGCTGTGAGCGGTTGGAAGGGGCTGTGAGCGGTTGGAAGGGGCTGTGAGCGGTTGAAAGGGGCTGTGGGCGGGTGGGAGGGGCTAGCTGGCGCCAGCTGCTGGCGGCTAGGTTCCGGTGGCTAGCTGCTGCTGGCGGCTAGCTTCTGCCTAGCCGTGCTGCTGCTGCAGGAGCACGCGCTGCTGCCTAGCCGTGCTGCTGCTGCAATGCACACGTTGCTGCCTAGCCGTGCTGCTGCTGCAATGCACGCGCTGCTGCCTAGCCGTGCTGCTGCTGCAATGCACGCGCTGCTGCCTAGCCGTGCTGCTGCAGCAAAGCACGCGCTGCTGCTGCAATGCGCGTGCTGCAGTGGCGTGCGCGGCTGCCGCTGGCTAACGCGCGCGCTGCTGCGGGCTAAGAACGACTACGCGGGCCCGCGGGGGGGGGGGGGGGGGGGGGGAGAGTCCCTTCTGGAGCGCGACGAAACGAGGGGCCAGTGGGGCCCTGTAAACGCGACGAAAAACGAGGCCCGCGGGGGCCCTTAAACGCGACGAAAACGAGGCCCGCGGGGGCCCTTAAACGCGACGAAAACGAGGCCCGCGGGGGCCGTCCTACCCGCGACGAAACGGGGCCTAAGGGACGGGCGCCTCGGGACCGGCTAAGGGAGGGAGCGGAAGCGTGGGAGGGAGTAAAAAACCTACTCTAATACCATCTTAAGATAGGCTAGGAGACAAGTGTCGAGAGTAATGTTTGAGTAAGGAGGGACAAGGAGATACAAATGTCGACCTAAAGTGTTGTACCCTTTAGAGGGCAACTCACAGTAGCCTATCTAACAATATATAGAATATATAAACATTTGACAGAAATCCCATAAGATAATAATAATAATAACAATAATAATACGAAAAAATAATCACAGTTTTACAATCCTACCTTAAATGCTTTATCCTACACGCAGAACACACCAATACCATGAATGTTTGTAACACATACAGTACTGCATTAATGGAATGTGGTACAAGGCGTTCAAGTGTAAAAAAAGGCACCGGCATGCAGATTACTCTCTTAGAACCTCTCTACTAGCCTCAAGGCACATCCAGCCGTTCCTTTGGGAAGATGTGCCAATAAAGGGCGGACACGCCCCATTCTATCACCCCCAGCAGCAGCAGCACTGGCAGGACCCTTTCTACCAGCAGAGAAAAAGGCACCTTCCCATCCACATACAGCCCTGCTAGATACCCCATATAGTATCGCTCCAGTACAGGTAGAGCTGCTACTAGAGCTCCTCCTGCGAAACCTTGTAAGCCTAATAGAATAACGTAGTGTTCTCTAGGCATGCTTTGAATTACCATGTAACTTGTCGCTACAGTGCGAAAAGAGTGGAAGAGGAGGGAGAGAGCGAGGAGGGAGAGGAGAAGGACGAGCGAGAAAGAAGAGAGGTGAGAGGAGGGAGTAGGAAAACTTATCGTGAAACTTCCTCCCCACCATGCCAGTTCCCCGCTTCCTCTCTCGCCTATCGACACCCCTTCCCCTCTCTCTCCCCATCCCCCCACTAAAAGGTACCAGCAGGGGCCGTGAAGGAGAGCGGCAGGGGGGAGGAGGAGGGGGAGGAGGGGAGTGAGTGAGGGATAGAGGGGGAGGTGTGACTGGAGGAGGCGACCAGAGAGGAGGGAGGAGGAAGAGAGGGGGAGGAGGATGGCTGCTGCTAGGATAATGTGCTGTGGGGATGGGATGGAAGTAGGGTGGAGGTAGACAAGTGGAGGTAGTGGAATGGGAGGAATGGAAAGAGGGGACAGAGGAGAAGAGGGAATGAGGGAAGGGAAGGTTTCAAGCAGCACGGTAACCGTGAGCTTGACAATGTATACTTAGGCGTCCCATTGTTTTTTGTTGTTGTTGTTGTTGTTTTTTTTTTTTCTTTCTTCTTCTTCTCTTTTAGGCGGATTCAGCGAAGCACTACGTGTTTGAGTCCATCCAAAGAGGCAACCAACTGAAGTGGAAACTGAGAGTACAAAACGAGGCCAAGAAGGGGACAGTTGTGGAGTGGAGGGGAATGCAGACGAGGGGAGTGCAGGAGAAGAGCAGTGCAAGGTTCTGAAAGGAGGACAGGCTTTGAGACGACTGAAAACAGAGGGCAAGTCAGGGCATAGCTGGAAGGAGGAGGGATTCCATACATCCAGTGCATGATGTTGGAGGGTGTTTTTGAGAATTCTCAAAAACACCCTGCATAGCTGGGAAGGGGAGAGGTTCCATGCGTCCAGAGCGCGGTTGAGGAGCCACAGGGAGATGGCCGAGGATAGCTAAGAGTAGCGGAGGGGAAGAGCAAGTCGGAGCGTACCTGGAAGGAGGAGAGGCCCCAGGTGTCAAGAGCGCGGTTGAGGAGCCACAGGGAGATGGCAGAGGAGACTGGAGAGCAGTGGAGGAGTGGAGTGGAGCAAGTTGGAGCGTACCTGAAAGGAGGAGAGGTTCCATGCGTCAAGAGCGCGGTTGAGGAGCCACATGGAGATGGCATAAGAGACTGGAGAGCAGCGGAGGAGCGGAGCAGGTAGGTAGGAGCACGGTTGAGTAGCATACCTGGAAGGAGGAGAGGTTCCATGCGTCCAGAGCGCGGTTGAGGAGCCACAGGGAGATGGCCGAGGAGATGAGGAGTGTGCAGGAGGAGAGAAGGGCGAGGAGGGGTGTAGAGCAGTGCAGCAGCATGAGGCAGAGCTGGTGGCGCGAGGGGAGGAGGCGGCGGGTGTAGAGGCGAGTGGAGGGACGGAGGAGGAAGAGTAGGAGGAGGAGGAGGAAGAAGAAGAGGAGAGACGGGAGGAGGGTGGCGGTTGAAACGGATAAGGAGAAAGGGCCTGCCTGTTGCTCCTCCACCCATGCAATATAATCCCCTCTCCCCCACACACCCTCCACACTCCCACCACTCCCACCACTCCCACCACCCCCACCACTCCCACCACCCCCACCACCCCCACCACCCCCAACGTCCCCCACACTCCCTCCTCTCTCCCCCATCGCTATCACCCCTCCCACCACCACTGCCAGCAGCAGCAGCGATCGCAGCGCCTCCACCACTCCAATCCTCTCTGCAACAGGTACGTTTCCTATAGAGTCTCCCAGGAAATTCAGGCCTGGGGTTTGGGAGAGACGGAAGGTGGGTGGAGGGATAAGGAGGAGGAGGAGAAGGGGTTCGAGGGAGGGGGAGTGGAACAAAAGGGAAAAAACATGCTGATTTGCTTGGTCACAAACTGCATACCATACTTTTGAGGCGCCTCAATAGTCAGCTTAAAAAAAAAACATGCTGATTTGCTTGGTCACAAACTGCATACATTTTAGGAGGTTTGAAACGTCTCAAAACCTCAAACATACCGTTCAGGACGGGGCCGGAGCAGGCTGAGAAGAAAGCGAGAGGGAGAGAGACTAGGGCCAGTCGCAGCAACACATTATTGCTGCTGCCACCGCCGCCGCCGCTGCTGCTGCTGCTGCTGAGGCTGAACTTGCTTAGGAAAGGGAAGTGAGGGAGGGCGATGGAGGAGAGGAGGAGCATGGAGGCGCATGAACCAGCCATGGCTACTCGCATGAGAGTGAGGGGAGAGTGGTGCAGGGCGACATGGGACCATAGGAGAGAGGAGAGTGAGAACACGGAGGAGAAGAGGGAGAGGAGGAGGGAGGGAGATGGGAGAGGGTATGGAGGCGAGGGGTAAGGCGAGGAGACGAGAGGGGAGGAGAGAGGGGAGGAGAGAGTAGAGGAGAGGGAATCAGGAGAGGAGATGGTGAGTGGGTACGTGTTGGTACCGACGGTGATTCCTCGGAGGATCTCAGAGGGAGAAGCACCAGGAGGGTATGGGATCAGGTGGGAAAGAGGTGAGGAAGGAAGAGGAAGAGGAAGAGGAAGAGGCCACCAGCGGTGCAGAGCAATCAGCAGCACCATGCACCCGGGAAGAAGGGCCGTGGCAGCACATGCCAGCAGCACCACCCGTTCAAACCACCCTCCCAGCACCCTGCTGCTTCTATCCCCTTGACTAAGTCTCCCCCGGGCGATCCCCCGGGCGATCCCCCGGGCGATCTTTCTCCTCCTTGCTAACGCTGCCTTTCCTGTGCTCCCACCCACGATTTCTCCTCCTTGTATGATCCGTGCGTTGCCAGAAAAAGCGTGCGTGCACGTCCTCCCGTTCCTGCAACTGTGCTGCTGCGAGTGGTGAGTTTTCAGCTGTATTGACCCTGCTGCAAGCGCTGCTGAGTGTGCTTCTAACTGTGCTGCTGCATGTACTTCTGCTGTTGTTGGTCCTGCACCTGATGCTACTGCTGCACCCGCTGCTGCTGCTGCTGATGCCATGGTTTCAGTAGCACCGTCCGCATCACAAGCACCAACAGAACCAAAGGCACCAGCAGCAGCACCATCAGCGCCACCGTTACAATGAAGAAGTGCCTCCTCTTCATCCCCTGCTCCCTCAACAACCCCTTGAACGCACTCAGCGCAATCAGGATCGAGCATAGACCTCATGCCGGAGCTGCTGCTGCTACAGCCAGGCTTCAGAGACGTCTCAAAGCCCATGCTGGTGCTGCTACTGCCAGGAATACCAGGACCTGTGGATTTCTCTGCCGCATTTGTCATCATGTGAGGCGTGCTTTCCTCGTAACAACACCCTTCACACCCATCCTCCCCATCCTCCCTAAGCAATGCCTCAAAGGTGCACTCCTCGAAGTCACAGTCGTCTGTCTCCTCCTCCTCTTCCTCATCCTCGTCTTCCTCCTGTTCCTCTCCCTCTTCCTCCTCTTCCGCCTCTCCTTCCCACCAAGACTCGTCCCCGTCTCTTCGTTCCCCTGGGAACTCCAGCGCGACTGAAACGTGAGGGATGCTGCAAGGTGCTGGCATCGAAGGTGATTGTATCGAAAGTGATTGTCCAGAAGGTGGTTGCAGGGAGGATGATGAGGAGGAGGAGGATTGAGAGGGTTGAGCTGCCAGGAGATAAAATCGGGTCCTTGAGCGAGTGAGGAAGGAGGGAAGAGAGGGGAGAAAGGAGTAGAGGCGGTGGAGCAGAGAGGGAAGGTATTGATGATGGGAGGTGGGAGGAGGAAGGGGGAAGGAAGAGGGTATAGGGATTGGGGACGAGGAAGGGCATGAAGGCGTACAGGAGAGGGGGGAGGAAGAGGGGGAGGACGAGGAGGGGGAGGAGGAAGATGGAAAGAAGGAAGAGGGAGAGGAAGAAGAGGGGGAGGAAGAAGAAGAGGGGGAGGAAGAAGATGGAGAGGAGGAGGAAGGGGAGAGGGAAGAGGAGGGGGAGGAAGAAGTGGGGGAGGAGGAGGAGATGGAGGAAGCAGAAGAAGGGGAAGAGAGGGAAGAGGGTGAAGGTGGGGGATGGGGAGCGCGCTTGGGCATGGGGGAATGCCGTGATACACGTGAAGGGGGGCCAGGCAAGCAGAAACTAGAAGGATCTATGGAAGAGAACTGCTGCCTCCCCAAGTTGCTGCTGCTGCGGCTGCTGCTGCGGCTGCTGCTGCTGCTGCTGCTGCTGCTGCTGCTGCTGCTGCTGCTGCTGCTGCTGCTGCTGCTGCTGCTGCTGCTGCTGCTGCTGCTGCTGCTGCTGCTGCTGCTGCTGCTGCTGCTGCTGCTGCTGCTGCTGCTGCTGCTGCTGCTGCTGCTGCTGCTGCTGCTGCTGCTGCTGCTGCTGCTGCTGCTGCTGCTGCTGCTGCTGCTGCTGCTGCTGCTGCTGCTGCTGCTGCTGCTGCTGCTGCTGCTGCTGCTGGTGCTGGTGCTGGTGCTGGTGTTGCTGCTGCTGGTGGTGCATCTTGTTCTGCTGCAGCGGTACAAAAACGAAACCACCCCTCCGCCAGCTCCCCCACGCCCATGCTTTCGCAAGCGCTGCACCCCCGCTGCACAAACTTGCCTCTGCCTGAATCCACAGACTCTCCCCCAACAGGCAAAAGCGAGGATGAGAGACCGGAGAAGCTTCTTGAAGCGAGTCGTGGTGGAGTTGGAGAGTGAAGAGAGGAGGTCGATAGGGCAGAGGGCGAATGCAGGTTGAATGGAAGGAAGGATGGGGGCGAGGGAAGGGGGCGGTGGTGGGCCGAGGAATGTACGTGTGAGAGGTGCGGTTGTGGTTGACGGGACACTTGGAGGGAGGTTTGAAGGTAAAATGTACTGGTGTGGACGATGGGATGAAGGGGCGGATGGGAGGCAGCAGCAGGCTTGGAATAGCGAGTTGGTTGAGGAGGAGAGGAGAGTGGAGGAGAGGGAGGATGGGGGGGAGGGGGAGGAGGAGGAGGCTTGAATGGCTTCCATGTAGCACTGAAGGTACTGGGAGAACATGTGCTGGGCACGAGAAGAAACAGGATGACAAAGGGGAGGATCAAGGGGAAGATGAAGGGGAGGAGAAGATGTGGAGGAACGGGGGGATGATGCATGTGCACCCATGCATGTGCACCCATGCATGTGCACCCATGCATGCGAACTCAACCCTCTACAGCTTCCACTCCACCCTTCCCTCAGTCCCCCAGTACCTACCTGGGGTGAGAAGCGCAGGTGCGTGGCATGGGCATGCATGAGGGAGAGGAGCGGAATGAACCTGCCTGCATGGGCCTATCTGCGCCACCTTACCCACCGCCCTCCCTCTTCCCACCCCCCTCCCTCTTCCCACCGCCCTACCTCTTCCCACCCCCGCCCTCCTCCCCCACCATGCGTCCGCTTACCTGGGGTGAGAAGCGCAGCAGCGTGGCATGCGTCTGCATGAGGGAGAGCAGCAGCGGGGGGGCGGCCATGGCAGCATTGATCGCAGCGAGCAGCTGCTGCTGCTGGTGCTCGTGGCACGACGACTGGAGCGGCTGGTAGAACCCCGGGGTCTTGCCCAGCCCACCCTGCAGCACCGCACAACACCGCAGAGCACAGCTCAGCACAGCACAACACAGACAGTGAGTTCACTCCTCGTTGTGAACCCTAAACCGGCTGATGTCTTGCCCAACGAGGAATGAACTCTCTGCGGTTCTTGCGCAGAGGAGACAAGTGATTGTTTCCACACACTACCCAATCAGTTTAGTTCACCACGCATGATCCCACGACACCCCACCCCACCAGCAACCACAGCCCAAACCCCCATGCATGTGCAAATGCTGCACAATGCACTTCCCCATATCAACTTACACCCATCCACCCACGCACCACTTGAAAGCCGCACCCGAGCGCGCCCTTCCATGCAAACTCCACGTCTGTGAGTCCGCACGGCTCAAAGCGGCTGGGCAGCAGCACAAAGTCCGCTGCTGCCATCAGTGCTGCTCTCTCCCGCGCTGCAACAGCAGCAGCAGCAGTCCCACTGTCTCACCCACACCACCATCACCACAACCACCACCACAACCACCACCACACTCGCTCTCTCAAGCCTGCTCACCCCAGACACCCACGCATCTGCAAATCCTGAGCAATGCACATCCCCCGTACACCCACCCTCCCTCCCACGCACCACTTGAAAGCCGCACCCGAGCGCGCCCTTCCAAGCAAACTCCACGTCTGTCAATCCGCAGGGCTCAAAGCGGCTGGGCAGCAGCACAAAGTCCGCTGCTGCCATCAGTGCTGCTCGCTCCTGTGCTGTCACGACTGTGTCGGAGGTGTATAGACGGTTGGGGTAGGCTGTGGCGGCCAGGCGGGAGAGGTTCTGCTTGGAGGGTTGGGGGGGATGATGGGAGAGAGAGGAACACATGGGTGAGTAGCAGCACAAAGTCCGCTGCTGCCATGAGCGCTGCTCGCTCAAGTGCTGTCACCACTGTCTTGGCGGCGTGTAGACGGTTGGGATAGGATAGGCAGAGGCAGCCAAGCACAAGCAAGAAACGAACGAACAAAGAAACAGATGAATCAACCAAGCAGAACATTACCTGCACAGCCAGTCGACCGTGCCCATCTGTGCAGGGAGCCAGCACCACCAGGCACGCCGTAGGTAGGATGCTCCCACATTTTCAAAACGTCTCATAAATCATTACCTGCACAGCCAGTCGACCGTGCCTATCTGTGCAGGGACCCAGCACCACCAGGCATGCCGTAGGATGCTCCCTCAACACCCACGCAGCCACAGCTGCTATCAAGTCGCTGCCCTTCTGGTAGCTCTGCCGCCCCAGGAACACAAACAGACGGCTGCCGCCGTCCGTCTCTACACCGGTGCCGCCCGCTCCGTGCACGTTAAACCGAGAAGGCGGCACATGGTGTGTGTTTAAACCAGTACTACCAGCAGTGGTAGTGCTATCAGCCACGGCGGTGGTATCAGCAGGGTAACAGCCGTCTGGCTCTGGAGCAGAGTCTCTCAAAACAGATTCGCTGCTGTGATGCCCTGTTCCCTTCCATTTCTCCCCGCTGCTGCTGCTGCTAGTAGTGGTGGTGGTGCTGCTGCTGCTAATGCCGCTGCTGCTCTTGATACCGCTGCTGCTGCTGATACCGCCACTGCTGCTCTGGATGCCAGTGCTGCTGCTTGTACTGCTGCTGCTGCTGCTGCTGCTGCTGCTGCTGCTGCTGCTGCTGCTGCTGCTGCTGCTGCTGCTGCTGCTGCTGCTGCTGTTGCTGCTGCTGGGTGAGCTGGGGATGCCCGTGGCATCACCACCAGCACCTGATGCAGTTCCTCGCCCCACATGCACCACCACTGCCTCTCCTCCTCCTGTTCCTCCTCCTGCTCCTCCTCCTCCTGCTCCTCCTGCTCCTCCTGCTCCTCCTGCTCCTCCTCCTCCTCTCTCCCCCTCTCCAGACCTCCCAACTCCCCCTCCTCTCCTTCCCTGCCAACCTCTCCCTCCTCCTTCCACCCCATTCAACCCTAACCCATAAGTCTCCATAACCTCTCTCTTCGCCTCCCTCTTTCTCCCTGCAATCTCCACCACCCCCCACCCCGGATTCTCCTCCTCATCCACCCCATTCATTATACTCACAATCCGCTCCACCCCCCAAAAGAGGCTCAGCTTTCGTTTCAGCCTCTCTGCATAGTGCTCCGATACGGTTACCAGTCCCGAACCTGCCTGGCAGGCTTGGAGGATGGTCAGGGCGGCGTGCAGCATGTTGAATGTGTTGCTGTGGCAGCAGTAGGTGCGGAACTCGAATGCAGATACATTGAATGTGGACAGAACCCACTCCTGGTGGGCGGCACTATGAATTCGCCATGCGCCCTAGGGTGGCGGGTGGGGTTTCGTCGGGAGGACAGGGCGGCAAGTGGGATGTTACGAGTAAGGGAGTGGAGGAGGAGAGGAGGAGGTGGGGAGGAGGGGAGGAGGACAGGAGGAGAGGAGAAGGAGAGGAGAGGAGGAGTAGGTGGACTGGAAGGATGTGGGGACGGAGTGGGAGAAGATAGGGAGTGGTGAAGAGTGGTGCGAGGACGCGGATGGAAAGGCGTACCGTGTGCATACAAGGAATAAAGTATTTCAAGTGCATCACAACACAAGTAAACAGAGATGTTTTGAGTCGACTCAAAAGTCACCTAGTATCCCAAGTGCATCACAAAGAGTGTGTCACGTGCGTAGCGTAGCAGAGTGTAGCGTCACCGTCACGCATACCATCTCACAGTAACACACCTGAAAGTCACCGTTGTGCAGAGTGATGCAAAAGGCAGGAAACGGCTTCTCCTCTCTCCCCCCTTCCTGCTCCGGCTGCTGCTGTTGCTGCTGCTGCTGCTGCTGCTGCTGCTGGTGGTGGTGTGGTTGTTGCAGCTGGTTCCAGCCCCTTCGCATCATGTAGAGTGGGGCCAAGGAGGCTGAGGACGAAGGGGAGGTGGGTGGGTAGGTGGGGTAGAGGAATGTGGAAGAGATGGAAGTAAGTGAGAGGAGAGCGTGAGAGTTAGTAGGTGAGTGCTGGAGGGGGTAAAGACTACAGCATTCTGTTACAGACTGTGAAGTAGAGCCGATTAACGACCATTGATTCTGTTAAAAACAGAAGAGAGAAACCAGGTATTGATCAAAATTCATAGTCTATTGCTTAGAAGTTAGAACCAAGGCAAGCAAGCTAAAAGTCTGTATGACCGCCCCAAAGCACCACCACATCCCTCCCACTCTTTCCCCGTCTACCACGCTTCCCATCAACCACGCGACAACGACACCCCAATCCCCTCCCACCATACTCGCCCAACCACTCCTCCTCCCAGGGTTCAAACCACGGCCCAACCTAACACAACCACCCCCCCTCATCCCCTTCCCCTTCCCATCCCCCTACCTACCCCTCCCCCTCCCCATTCCTCTCCCTCTTACTCCCCCTCCCCCTCCACCTCCCCCTCCCCCTCCCCCTCCCCCTCCACCTCCCCCTCCCCCTCCCCCTCCCCCTCCCCCTCCCCCTCCCCCTCCCCCTCCCCCTCCCCCTCCCCTCCCCCCTCCCCCTCTGCATCCCCCTTCCCCTCACCGTGGTAGTCATGCAGGTGTATGACATCAGCATGGGGCGCAATGACGTGAGCAGCATCCGCCACTGCCTGGCTCCAGGCGGAATAGAGCACCATCTCCGCGCTGGTACTGGCGCACCTGGGGGGAGGAGGAGGCGCGGGAGGGAGGGGAGCGCGGGGGGGGCAGGGAGAGGAAGGGAAGGGGAACGAGGGGGGGAATTGGCACTGCTTGGCTCCAGGCGAGGCGGAATACAGCACCATCTCCGCGCTGGCACTGGCGCACCTGGGCGGGGGGGGGAGAAGGGGGGAAGGCACGGAGGGAAGAAGGGGGGACAGGCAGTGGGGAAGAGAAAGTGAGAGAGGGGGGCATGCGCCACTGCTGCTTGGCTCCATGGGGGAAGGCGTGGGGGAGGGAGCGGAGGGGAAGAAGGGGGGACAGGCGCTGGCGCTGGCGCAGCCAGGGGGCGGGGGAGGTGTGCATGGTTGAGGGGGGAGGTAGGAGTTAATGGATTGGTGGGCGGCGGGGGGAAGGGAGGGTGGGGAAGGGAAGGGAGCAGGAGTGAAGAGAAGACAGGAAGGGACTAATCGATACAGCTTCAACTGAAAGCGAGCGAACACCTTTCCATACCCTCCTCCCTCTACAACCTCCCCTCTTCTCCCTTCTCCATCCCACCCCACTCCCTCCCTCCCCCTCTCCCTACCCCCAGATCCCTCCAATACTCACTCATACAGATCCTTCGCCGTCCTCTTAGAAAACACCCGACACGTCAGCAGGTAGAACGTGCGCGGCGCGCCACATGGCGCCACGTCACGCAGCACGTGCACGTGCACAGGCACCCACGCTCCAAGCACCGTCACCCAGCCCTGCTTCGCAGGCTCGGCAGGAGGTAGGCTCGGCAGGGGGAAATCCGCCAGGCGAGGAACGATCAAGGAGAGGGGGAAGGGGAATTTGCGGATAAAAAGGTCTACCACTTTAAACAGCCCGCCCACTGACGCAGAGTAATTCACCCCTGGAATGGAATACTCCAGGCTGACGTGGCACACACGTGGCACGACGCCACTGGTGGATGCTTGCCGCCCGGGTTGCGCCGTTGGCGCTGCAGGGAAATCCATGCTCAGGGTTTCGGGCTTCATATAATTCGGTAGAAGCTGCTTGGAAAAGCCGCGAGTACCACTGGCGGTGCAACGCTGATCACGCCTCACGCCTGTCGGAATGCCCTCCTTCCACTTGCACTCCAGATGTGCCCGAGTTCCATCATAGTATCCGAGACCGTCTCTCGTTGTCACCGGCGTTGTCGACGTCGTTCTTGGCGGTGGCGGAGGCGGCGGCGGTAGTGGCGGCGTCGCTGCTGCGGGTCTCAGAGTCTCTTTGCCCGCCGTCAGCCGCCAAATAAGCCCGTGGATCGTTTCAGAGTCGTGAATCCTAGAGCTTTGACGGTGACGGTCGGAGTCGCCTAGCGCGGTCGATCGTTTCAGAGTCGTGGAGTGTGAGCGTGACGCGTTGAAGAGAGCTTTGGGAATGGCTCGGAAAACGCGTGGCAGGGTGGTGAAGGATGCGAGCGCGAGATGCGCTGGCGGCGGGGAGGAAGAGCACGGGAGAGCCAAGCGAAGCGAACGGAGAGAATTGTCTACACACGAGAAGGCGGGCCAGCTACACACCAAGTCACTCCGCAAGTTCGACGGTCGAACAGCTCGGAGCGTCACGCTCACAATTCCAAGATTCGCTGTTTAAGGAAAAGGCTGACTCGAGCTTCGAATGGCGGTCGCTGCTTCATAGGCCATTACGCGGGTCGTGGGAGCGTCAAACTGCGGGTTTCGTGGAAGCAGGCAGAACAGATGGGAGAGTGCGGGTGACTGGGATGTTAAGGATGAGGCTGGAAGGCGGGTAGCACTGCTAGCACTGCTTCGTTCCGACGACGTAGCTGGCCTGACCAGCTTCGTTAGCTTCATTTGAGAACTCTCAAGAGCTGGCCTGACCAGCTTCACAGTCGTCAATCTTACTAAATTCTAGTCGACGGCTCTCTTCGATAATTGGCATCAGGTGAGCGATCGATCCGGGTGATCAGCTGACGTGTCGTGCGTTGATTGTTGGATCATCGAGCTCCTTTCGGAACGCACGACGCGCGCTGCGGGCAGAGCACTTCTTGGACTGAGGACATGTGGGCACGACGGACGTATTATGATCGACGGACGTCCGACCGAAGGAAAACTCTCGGTTACAATGACAATCGCGCTACCGTCAAGCATCCCTCGAACCGCTTCAGAGGCCTTCAATTTCCGCTTCTTTCGACGCGTCAATGGAGCAGAGGGCGAAAGAAAGGGGACGAATCCACTCCATCGCCGGTAGCACTCGCTGATAATTCCTTGCGCGGCTTGCGGCGGTTCGCCTCTTAGACCCAACCTGGGTCCGCTCAATAAACGCGTCATCTATCAACAGATTCAGTTCAGTCACCAAGACACTCTCGGACCGCTCGAACTGAGCCTACTGTAAGATTTGGGTCGTCAAGCAGACGACAACCATGGGAAGTGACGTGCAGACTACTTCCACTACCACTGCATGAACGCGTTCGTACAAGGTGTAATGAAGTGCGCTTTGTACACATACGAGTTGAATAAACGTGTTCCCTTCCCAGCCCAGAGTTGTCCGGAACCGACCAACACCATCCTGCCCCTAAGTGCACCCAACCCAAACTCGTCATACCGCATATTGCACACAGGAGGACGCGTCACGAGACGTGCCATTCCAGTTCCAGAAGACCAGAAGGTTGCTGCTGGCCTTTCCAATTTCCATCACCTCGGCCTCGCCAAATATCCGCTGTTATAGCGCAGCAGCAAAACCAGTGATAAGGAACTGCTATGGACATGGAGGAGTTTGCAGGCAAACACAAGGCAGGCATGACAAGGCGAGGTCTAGATTGTGCCGATGCTGGTTTAGGTTGTGCGATTGACCGTAGACAATACAGAAGGTGTACATGTTTTCACAAAATCATCAGGCTGACGTGCACCTACTTTCAGATTTGTTATCTTTAAAGCCCGGGTACAGCATGGTAATTTTCAAGTTCAAGATTCTTGAACTTGAAATCGCAAAAAACAGGGTTACCCTACTTGTTTTGAAGAAACTCTCGCAACCCCAGGCAATCGTCCTGCGACAACGGAACCCGAGTGCCCAAAAACAGAACTGATGCGATGATCGCCAACCATATGCACTGTTCACCACTCACATAACTTGCTTACCAAGTCGTACTCATAGACTAGGAGGCTCCAAGGCAAAAACTAGCGCTAGTTGGCAAAAGCGAGTCGTTGTTAGGGCTTTTTTTTTGTGCGGAAAAAAAAATAGGTATCCACCTCAACCATCTTAGTCAGTGCACGCTCCGATTTCCCCCTCACGTCGCCGGTCTCGTGTTACAACCCGTTCACCCGCAGCACTTACGTTAGTGAACAATCGTCGCGTTACTCGCGCCTTGCTTTCAAGCTCGCGTCGCACAAGATGCTCTTTTCACACTTGCTGCGGTTCAGCCTCGCGTCCCGATTTTACCGTTTTAGGCACGGGTCGCTCACGCGAATGCCGTACAGGTTCGCCAGACGCGCGCTGCCGTTAGTCTCAAATGTTCCCCCTCGTCGGCCGCTCTTTCCCACGTCATACCGCTTTCCTCGTCGCCCGCAGTTTCCCTCATCTCCCTCGCCGACCCTCGCCGCCCTCGCCTCTGCTTGTCGCCCGCGCTTCCCGTCGTCGCCCTTGCTTCCCCGTCACCCGTGCTTCCCGTCGTCGCCCTTGCTTCCCCGTCACCCGTGCTTCCCGTCGTCGCCCTTGCTCTCCCGTCACCCGCGCTTCCCGTCGTCGCCCTTGCTTCCCCGTCACCCGCGCTTGTTCTCATCTCTCGCTCTCCTCCTCAACGTCTTCGTTTCCCTCGTCGCCATAACGCCCTCGCTTCTGCCCGTCGCCCTCGCCTCCCCACATACCCGCCTCCATCTCCCCCACATACCACCCGCCTTCCTCCCCACATTCTATTCCGCTTGTCATACGCTCTTCTCCTCTTCCTCCCTTCCATCTCTCCCTCCCTCCCTCTCCCTCTCTCTATCTCTCTTTCTTCGAACCTCTCTCTCACCCTTTCTTCCACCCTTCTTCCTCCTGAGGGGAAGGGACTGAATGAGAGACACAGAGGGGATAGGACAGAAGGGTATGCAGATGTTCTTTTCCCCCACGCGCTTCCCCTCATCGCCCTCACTTCCCCCAAATTGTTGCCCCCTGTCTCTGTTTTTCCCAACCACCCGTTCTCCCACCAGCCCTGCTTCCCCCTTTGCCCTGATTCCTTCCACCCTCTGCCCTGCTCCCCCCCATCCCCTTCCCTGCTTCCCCCCACCCTCTGCCCTGCTCCCCCCATCCCGTTCCCTGCTTCCCCCCACCCTCTGCCCTGCTCCCCCCCATCCCCTTCCCTGCTCCCCCCCACCCTCTGCCCTGCTTCCCCTCATCCCATTCCCTGCTTCTCCCCACCCCCTGCCCTGCTTCTCCCCATCCCCTTCCCTGCTTCCCCCCATCCCCTTCCCTGCTTCCCCCCATCCCCTTCCCTGCTTCCCCCCATCCCCTTCCCTGCTTCCCCCCATCCCCTTCCCTGCTTCTCCCCATCCGCTTCCCTGCTTCCCCCCCTCTTTTGCTGCTTCCCCCTACCCTCTGCCCTGCTCCCCCCCATCCCCTTCCCTGCTTCCCCCCATCCCCTTCCCTGCTTCTCCCCATCCCCTTCCCTGCTTCCCCCCATCCCCTTCCCTGCTTCCCCCCATCCCCTTCCCTGCTTCCCCCCATCCCCTTCCCTGCTTCCCCCCATCCCCTTCCCTGCTTCTCCCCATCCGCTTCCCTGCTTCCCCCCCTCTTTTGCTGCTTCCCCCTACCCTCTGCCCTGCTCCCCCCCATCCCCTTCCCTGCTTCCCCCCATCCCCTTCCCTGCTTCTCCCCATCCCCTTCCCTGCTTCCCCCCATCCCCTTCCCTGCTTCCCCCCATCCCCTTCCCTGCTTCCCCCCATCCCCTTCCCTGCTTCCCCCCATCCCCTTCCCTGCTTCTCCCCATCCCCTTCCCTGCTTCCCCCCCTCTTTTGCTGCTTCCCCCTACCCTCTGCCCTGCTCCCCCCCATCCCCTTCCCTGCTTCCCCCCATCCCCTTCCCTGCTTCTCCCCATCCCCTTCCCTGCTTCCCCCCATCCCCTTCCCTGCTTCCCCCCATCCCCTTCCCTGCTCCCCCCCATCCCCTTCCCTGTCTCCGTGTTACCCGTTTCCTTGTCCCTTTTCCCTGTGTCTCCCCACCCTCTGTTTTATTCCTTCACCCTCGCACACCTTACCGCCTGCCGACCTTACCGCCTGCCCACCTTACCACCTCAAATCCTTCCCTTCTCATCCGCGCGCAGGTGTGGCGGAAGGTGCACGTGCTGCCTTGTGCCTGCCGCTTGCTGTCCACGCCTTCCATCCCACCTCTCCCAAACCACGTCTTTTTCTATATGTGCCTCCCCTGCTGGCCCATACCCTCTGCTGATCTGCGCCCTATGAGGCCGTGCCCTCTCTGTTCCCCGCCCCTGCATGTACGGAGGGATTGGGAGCCGCTTTGCCTAGCAGCCAGCACTGTGCAGGCAAGGATTCGAACTGGTGGATCATGGGGCAAGGGTAAGGGAGTGTGTTGTGCGGCATGGTCAGTGCGGAGTGGCGTGGGAGGGAGGCAAAATGGCAAGCACAGGGTGAAGGCAGGCAGGGGCCGTGGCAAAAATATGGAGATTGGCAGTGTCAGCAGGATGTGCGGCAGGATGCTGGCGGCAGCGCACGTCAGGGCATGTGCGGTGGGGCAAGGCTGGTCTGCGCTGCGGTGGGCCGGGGGAGTGCAGATTGGTGCAGGGAAAGGCACGACATGTTCCTATGTGGCCGGCCGAGACCCTTATGAGTTGCGGGATCTGAGCTTGAGAGTGTACGCTTGGAAATGTATTGCTAATGTGTTTCTTGATATGTAATTTTCATGATTCACAATTTGCTTTTGTATGCCAATTCAGCACTTGAATTTTGTATGTTATTCTGAAGTGATATCTCAAACTTATCCAAATATTTTAGTCGATTAGTAATCACAGGAAATATTGTTCAGTGTACTGCCTCACTCTTACTCGCGTGAGTTTCGCGTTCCCCACCATTTCAACCCCAAGAGAAGCGCAGTGTGCCCCACCAGTGCTGGGGCGGGAGCAGTGCTCTGTCGCACACTGGGTCGTTCGGCCCTCCCATATCCTCGGGGACAGCTGTCGCATAGTATCGTGGCGAAGACTGTTTTTCCCGCCTCCTGAATTCGGTTTCGCCCCACACACATTTTCGAAATTCGCCCAACTGTTTCAACCCCACATAACTTGAAAAATTACCATGCTGACCTCGGGCTTTAACGCCTTGCAAGCAAATGCCTAAGCACAGGATATTAACTAATGCACAATTTTAAGCACCTCAAGTTGGGAATATGTTGGAGGAGCAATGTCAAGAGAGCAAATAAAAACGTTCGTCATGCATACCCTTCTCACCAATGTGAAGCATCTGGGCACGTCACGAGCACATATACCATTACATGCACTCATATCAGACCATGCCTTATGCTCAGACCATCACCTTCCAATCCGGGTGAATCATACCTACAATGGAAAGCATTGAATGGAGCACACCTGTGTGCAACCAAGCACCTGTAGCTCGTGCCTAGTGCGTTATTCCCCCATTCCTCCCTCCTTGTTGCCCCATAAGCTGATGCAACAACGACAGTTCATTATCCACCCCTTGCGACGCCAACCCCCGCGCCACCAACCCATACTCGTCCCTCACAGACCTCCCTCCCGCCCCAGCCTCTGTAAGCTCCGATGCCAAGTAAAGACTAGGGTCATTCAGCCCACCCCTCCCTCCTCCACCTCCTCCACCTCCCCCTCCCCCGCCACCTGCTAGTGAGCTGAATGATGGATCCAAAAGGCTGCTGTTTATTCCTCCTGCTCCGCCTGCTGCTGCTCCTCCAACCCCCCGCGAAATCCCCAGATTCATCAACGCCGCTGCGTTATTTTGGCCGCTCAGATTGAATCCCGACGCGGCCATAGTAGCCCTCAGCGCTGCATATTCCTGCAGACCTGCTCCCCCTCCTCCTCCGCCCCCTCCCCCTCCGTTCTCCATTCCTCCCCCAGCCCCTGTAGCCATTTCTAAAAGCCCTCCCAGCCCTCCCCCTCCTGCTAAACCCGCTGAGCCCAGTCCTGCAATACCAGCAAGCCCCGCAAGCCCAGCGTGTGTTGGAGAAGCAGCAGACCCTCCCCCTCCACCCCCACCGGCACCACCACCACCAGAACCAGGACCACCCATCAACCCCACCTGCCCTGCTAAAGCCTGTAGGTATGAGTCCATACCACCAAGCCCAGCCGCCCCTCCCCCTCCCCCTCCCCCTCCGCCTCCTCCCCCTCCCCCCACCGCTGCTCCCCCCCCTCCTCCCCTCTGTCGCACCATACTCTCCTGCTGAGCTTGCAGTAAGAGGTTCAGCTCATAGGGGGACAGATTCTGAAGGCCAAGCGCTTGGGCTATTCCTGCCATACCGCCTGCACCCGCACCAGCAGCACCGCCACCACCACCACCGCCGCCTTCCCCTGCTGCTGATCGATACTCATGGCTTGCACCTATCCCTGATGCTGCAGGCCCCAACAACCCTGCTGCCATAGCTGCTGCTGTGGCGGGGTTCCCAAACCCGCCTCCTCCTCCTCCTCCTCCTCCTCCTCCTCCAGCAGCCAGATGGGCCAATGGGGAGCTGCCACCTGTTGCGCCTGCCTGCCTCCGCTGCTGCTGCTGATGCTGCTGCTGCTGCTGCTGTTGCTGCTGAATGGCTTGAATTTGTGCGATTGTAGCTAGAGTAGACGCGTCCAAACCGCCACCAGCGACCATCGCTGCTGCCGCTGCCGCTGCAGCAGCCGCAGCAGCGGCACCTCCACCTCCTCCTCCACCACCACCACCATCCCCCCCTCCTAAACCTCCCAACCCGCCAAGCCCAGCAAAAAGACCCCCACCGCCGCCACCCCCACCACCACCTCCCCCGCCCCCTCCTCCTCCCCCTCCTCCTCGACCTCCAATCCCTCCAGCACCACCCAGCCCGCCCCCAACACCAGCGGCGGCGGCAGCAGCAGCAACCGCGTCGGAGAGACTCATAGAAGGAGTTTTGGAGGGGCGCGAGCCGGGTAGCTGCACGTGCAGCGTGCCCCCGAAGGCACTGCCTTCTGTGGCTTGGAAAGACGCCACTGGGTGCGGCTGTGGGTTCACCCCGCTTAGCCGCTTCAGGTACAGGCGGTACTTCTGCACATCAGAGGATGGGGAGAAGGGGGGAAGGAGGGAGGCAGGGAGGGAAGGAGATAGGGAGGGAGGGAGGGAGGGAGGGAGGGAGGGAGGGAGGGAGGGAGGGAGGGAGGGAGGGAGGGAGGGAGGGAGGGAGGGAGGGAGGGAGGGAGGGAGACAAATGGATCGTTGAGTGAGACGGACGGAGGTCAGGCTTTGATATAGGACGTCAGCTTGTTGCAGCAGCAGTGCTTTGTATTGAAGGGGAGAATCTGGGTAGAGAGCAGCAGGAGGAGGAAAGGGGGGGGGGAGGGGGAGCAGGAGCAGGCGCAAGAGGAGAAGCAACAGGAACGGCAGCAGCAGTAGCAGAAGCAGGAACGGCAGGAGCGAGAGCAGGAGCAGAAGCAGGAACGGTGCGAGCAGGAGCAGGAGCAGGAGCAGGAGCAGGAGCAGGAGCAGGAGCAGGAGCAGGAGCAGGAGCAGGAACAGAGCAGGAACGGCAGGAGCAGGAACAGGAGCCGGAACGGCAGGAGCAGCGGCAGCACCACTGACCTGCAGATGCGAAGCAACGTTCTCCCGTGTGAGGCCCTGCACGTTCATGATCTCCAATATTCGCTTCGGCACCGCCTCTGACCAGGGAGGGATAGAGGACAACGCAATGAAGCGCGAGGGGGGTGTGGAGGGGGAGTCGGAGGAAGGGGGGAAGAAGATAAGGGAGGTGAGGGGTAAGGGCCGTAAACTAAATAAGAAAAATCTTCTTCTGGACATTCGAATTCCTGCAGCATTGAAGTCCCCTCGTTTCCACTTGCCTGCATTCCGCTGTACTCAACACAAAGGCGGATTCAAAACACAACAAGCGAGTTTAGGGCGATTCTGAGTGCAAAAAAGAGGCTGCGTAATGATTCTGAGAGGAGGACACCACGGTCACAGGCTTCGGACAGGACTGCCACGTCACGGGCTTCGGACAGGACTGCGACGTCACGGGCTTCTCTCACTGTCCACGACGCCCAGCCAGCCGGTTAACAGCGTTGAGTCGTTGACCAACTGCTGGTGCAGTGCAGCAATGGACCACACCACAGCACGGCCCACGTGAATATTCTTTGCATCATCGAGCAGCAGGCAACAGGAAGACGGCAGCAGCACTTACTGTCGACGCCCAGCCGGTTGACAGCGTTGACGAACTGCTGGTGCAGCTCAATGGACCACACCACGCGCGCCTTCTTCAGCATCATCGCATCCTCCACCGCGTCCTCCTTCTTGCGCTTGCCCCCCACCTCTCCGTCACTCTCCCCGCCCTCCCCGCCTCCCTCTCCCCTTCCCCCATCCCCCATCCCTCCGCCTGCTGCCCCTCCATCCACGAAACCCCCTTCGTTTATCCCGCTCCGCCCGCCGCCGCCGCCGCCGCCGCCGCCGCCGCCGTCCCCCCCAGCAGCCGCGGACGTGCCGGGTTTGACCTCGTCCCACTCGCCGGCGGCGTCCGCGTCCCTTGCGCCGGCGTCGCGCGGAGTGGTGCGCTTGCGCACGACGTGCTGCCAGATGTTGCGCAGCTCCTCGATGCGCACGGGCTTTAAGAGGTAGTCGCACGCGCCGTGCGTTATGCCCTTCATCACCGCGCTCGTCTCGCCGTTCGCGCTCATCACTGGTACAGGAACGGAGGAGGGCGGGAACGGGGAGGAGGGCGGGAAGGGGGAGGAGGAGACCAGAGGGGGAGGAAGCGAGGAAGGGGCAGAGGGGTGAAGGGAACGGGAGGCAGGGAAGAGAGGATAGGAGAATAGGAGAAACGGGAATTTCAGAAATCACCGCCGGAACTTTTTGTTGGAAGCCAACTCAACAAGATACCTCGAACTCCAGTTATCGCTGCTGTCTCTATAGCGAACAGAGATTAAGATATGGATACTAGGGAGGACCTATGCGCGGGATGGAAGAATGGAAAGAGGGAGAGGAGGGACAAGAGGGAGAGGAGAGAAAAGGTAGGGTATAGCAGGGGAGGTAGGCGGGCAGGAGAGAAGGAGGATGAAACCAGAGCGAAGCGGGACGGAAGTGGGACGGAGAAGAGCGAAGGGGGAACGGAACCAAAGAGTTGGCAGAAGCGAATGACGATAACATGGGAGAGTAGCGAGGGGTTCAAACGCAAGTCAGGAGGGCAGAGGAGAGCACCAATACGCAAGCGAGGAAGGCAACTCGCACTCCAAACCAATCAATCCAGAATTAAACCGGGTACGAAACGGGAGAGGACGCAATGCAAGGACTGAAAGACAGCCGCGATGAGGTTACAAAGGTAACAGAGGTAACAGCGTCTGCCGCCGGCAGGTGAACGCACTGATAACGGGGAGGTCGAGTTCGAGGCCGATGAGTTCGAGCAGCTTAAAGCCATCCATGTCGGGCATGTACACGTCGCTTATCACCAGGTCGAACCGGTCGCGGTTCTCCCGGAGCAGAGATAGCGCCGTCGCTGCGCGGCTGCATGTCGTCACTGGAAGGGGACAGGGCGGGGGGGAAGGGGGAGGAAGCGGGACGCGGGCGGGGGGGGGGAAGGGGGGAGAGAGGGGGGAAGGCGGGAGGGGAGAAGAGGAGAGAGGCTGAGACAGAGAACGAGAGAGAGAAAAAAAACTCACACAAACGTGAAACTGACAACACAGACGGCAACAAGAAAGGGATTTTGTTTTCCTTTTGTTACCATCAAAGAAGGCTGATACCTGAGTAAGAGCATTGTCGCAGCATTCGCTCGAGAATCATGAGGCAGAGCGGGTCGTCGTCGACCGCGAGCACTCGCATTCCGGCCGGGAACGAGACTGCGTTGTTGTCGTTGTTACTGTCATTGTTGTTCTTATTGTTGTTGTTATTGTTGTTGTTGCCGGTGTTGTTGTTGATGGTGTTGTTGTTGGTGGAGCTCGACAGGTTGCGAACCAGAGGTAATTGCGAGTCAAGGTCCGGCGACGTATCCTCCTCGCCGATTCCTAAATCGTGCTCTATTAGCGAGTTAAACATGGTTGAAGGCGTGTAACGAAGAACGAGCCCCGGTTATCAGGATGTGGGAAATGTTATGACAGTCTTAGTAATAGGGAGAACCGAAGCCAACGCAGGGAGAAGCTAGGGAATCATAATAGTAGCCGGGAATTACGCCCAAGGACAAAAAAGACGGCTTGCAGCTGATGACAATTCTTGGCACAATGACGACGACTAACGTTTTTTTGAAACGCCGAAATAGATACACGTTCTCCTTGAGACCACTGAGCGATTTGTGGCGGACAACGCAATATCCTAAGCGAACGAGCCAGAATACAGTATAGCTTGTCGAAGGCAATGGCGGATGGAGTGTGGAGAGGATGACAATAGCACTAAGTCCAAGCTTTTGAAAGGTTTTCGGTTCAAATGCTGGTCTGCTGATCGGACAATGCGATTCAGTAAGCTTTCATACGGTAAACTGCGGTTAGCTTAATTTACCGTAATGCACCGCAACACACCCAACCAAGACGTGGTTTGTGAACTGAAAATAAACCTCGAGAACACCTCCTGGGCACGAATGGAAGACGAAACCCTAGCGCATTCTGCAGTGAAAGCTTGAAACCAGGGCTGACGATTCAAGGGCAAATGCCCTTAATGCCCTGAACATTAAGGGTTGGGTTTGGCCCAGCTTCCGAATTTTAAGGGTTGGCTTTGAGGGCAGCCCTTTCCCGCAAAGTGCTGGTTGTGGGCCTAACCCGGATTTCAAGTGCAGATCCCGCGGCTAGCCCTTATCGTCCCATACTAATACCTCCCTCCCTCCCATTCGCTCACCAGTCCCCCCACCTCCTCCCAGCCACTCCCCTACTTCCTTCTCCCATCCCCCTCAAATCCATCGACATGTTTCGTACCTCAGCCTATTGCCTAGTTGGCTCTTAGTAGTTTGCCTAGGATACGGTATCCCTGGCGAAGTGCAAAAAAGTTGGTAGCCCTGATTTCAAGTGCCAGGTTTGCTCTCAGCCCGGAAATTTCAGGGCAACTTTTGGGGCACCTCAGCCTCTCAAGTTCTGGCTCCAAACCAATCGACAGCCCTGCTTGAAACCCAAGCAACGAGAAACGGGGGGGGCAATGGGACGGTGGGGTACCAGAAATGCGGCTGGGCTCGAGGAAGGATGATGGGACGAAACGGTATAAGCGTAATCACCCTGAGAATGTCACATAGACTTCGTGGCGTTTAAGAGTGATCCCTAAGTTTCCGAATTACTTTCTTGAAGGTCTCTGAAGAATCTTTGGGGGTGCGGCGGGAAATCTTTCATGTTCACTCCCGTGTACTGGAAATATTTCATGTTCATGTTAGCCGAGTCTGCCCAATTGGGGCAGATGGACGACAAAATGTACACGTAGTCCAGTTCTGGAAGGACCAGGAGGAGGTCCACTTCAGGCTCCCTCATCCCCCACACAACTTCACCCTCTTGTGGTGGGGCTGTGCTGGTTGTGGTGGGGCTGTGCTGGTTTATCCGGTCTATAATTACGGCATAAACCATGACACAGACCGAAGGAAACTACTCCCGGTTTGCTGTGATCAATATTCAAATTTTCGATAAGAAACCACGATTATTTTGAGAGAAATGGCGATTTGATAATAAGAGGGGAGAAACAAAACGTTTCGACTGCTGATTTGATGGTGGACGGAAAGTTGAACTTGCAAATCCGGATGTGGAAGGCTGGTCGTCATGTCGTGTGTGGGTGGGTGGGTGTGTGGATGACGACAGCGAGGGCATCGGGTCTCCTCGCGGCCCCCTCCTCGCTGGGGAACGGGACATCCTCGGCCCGAATAGAGTGTGTGGGTGGGTGGGGCAGTGGCTGGGGCGGGAGGGAGAAACCTACGTGCAGAGCCACAGGGTTCAGAGAAACCTACGGATGTTTGTCCGGAAAATGTTATGACGTATCTAAAAACTGGATTCTATATATGATCATCTCTGTGCAGACAGTATTTATGAGTTTCGATTGGTTATCAAGGGCAACTCGTCTAGATCCGACAACTGACGATACGGAGGGTGCAAGATCTTCCGCCGTGACCGAATGCGAATATGTTTCCTGCCCGGCTAAGTCTCGAGCCCAGGTTGCGTAAGATCACAATGCTGTATGAAGTATCAAGAATTGTTTGAAAAGCAATTGGAAAGCATAAAAAAAAACGACCTAGAAATTTAGCAGAAGTTTTCGACCGCATTTATCATTTGGTGTTACCGCTCGTTTATCTGAACAGTTTCGAATCTATTCGGAAATCAAATCTTGGATTTTAACAACAGTCCGTCCTTTGAAACTCAGTTGGAGTACATAAATACATTTCATTATTCACAACTATACATCTCAGTGATATCAGCTATTCAGTATAAAGGGCGTGACAGATTCATACATAAATCAATCAGTACCCATCCCAGCCACCAACCAACCCACCCACCCACCCCACACAGACACCAGTATCCAAGCTATGTCTAATCCAAAACATACCCCTCAGTGACAGCAACACACACTTCATCTCCTTCCTCATCATTCCCTTTGCTTTTACGTACACGGCCCTCGGCTTGGCCCTTCACATCGCACAACACTAAACTTCCTTCTCTCTTTCCAACCGCCCTGCTGTGTGACAAGCCTCAGCCTTGCACACAGGGCAGAGCTTGGAGTATAGGGATAGCCATTCAGTTGCACACAGTCGGTGAAATCGATGCTGGCAAGGCAGTACCAGCAAGGCGTCTCCCTCCACATACTCGCCCTGGCATATGCTGCACAGCCTGTGTTTCACCACCAGGGGAATACAGTAAAGCGGGGACAACATCATTTAGGTTTGCGTATAGGGTTTATTTTTGGAAAGTGGCCGACACTCATAATTACACAGGATACAAATATACAAAAGTGGATGCAAGAGCAGTGTGCCACATTAAGGCGAGCATTAGTATTTGGGGGATTAAAAGACCAAAAGAAACAAAAAAAAAGTGTTCGTAGTGCACTCACTCATCCGAAAAGGAGTCGCTGGAATGCTGCGTGCCCACATGCACGGTCGGCAGGTGGTCGATCTGATCTCCCGACAGCCCGCACTGCACATTCTCCAGCTCCGTCAGGTTCTGTGCGAGCAAAAGGAGAGGGCGGCAGAGATGGGCGGCAGTGGGAATACCGCAAAGGTAAAGCAACAAACGAGAGCTGAATTGCTGGTGAGGAGGTGAGCAGTGAGCGCGGAGGGGTGAGGGGGAGTGATATGCAAGCAAGCATGCTTGGGGGGAGAGTGAGGGTAGCAGGAAACAAGCCTGTGTATCAGAGAAATGGGGGCGGAGAGGACTGGTGGACAATCAGACAGAGTAAAACGGTTTCGTACAGCTGGACAAGTGGGGAAAACGGATAGTAAGTGGCCGAAGTATGCAATAAGGAAAGCAGCCAAGGAAAGGGAAGAACGAGGAAGAGGCGGAAGAGGGGATGCGGGAAGAGGGGTAGGAGGGGGAGGTGGGTGAGCGGGATGAGAGGGGACGGAAATGGGAAACAGGAGGGGGGGTGGGGGGGAGTGGCGAGGGGGCGGTAAGAGGGGGAACGAACGAACTTCGTAAGAGAGGTCCCCTGACGCAGCAGCAGCAGCAGCGTCCGAGAGAGACCCGGTGCTGTCGCTGGCGGCAATGGGGTGATCCACTAGGGACAGCGACAGCGCTGCTCACCATTGCCGCAAAAAGGGGGGGGGGAGGGCAAGAGAAGACTAAGAGAGAAAACGGCTTTCCCATGTGCTGACGTGGAGGGATGCGGAAGGAGAAGGGGAAGCAGAGGGATGAGAGGGGGGGGGAAGGAGTGGGGGAGCTGTGGGTGGGGTGGGGTGTGGGGGGAAGGGTGGGAGGGGGAAAGCGGAGTAATAGACACTAAAGAGGAACCGGAAGGCGGAAGGCGGACGGGAACCTTCGCAACGCCAAACCATGCGCAAAGGATGAGAAACTGATCCCGTGCGCGTTCAGATGAGCTTACCTAGCGCCATCTCTAACTCATCCCCATCCGCGAAGCCTCCGAAATGCGACCAGGGCACAGACGACGACGTCTGTTGCCCTCTGCTTCTACCTCTACCGCTGCTGCTGCTGCTGCTGCCGCCGTAACCCCACCGCCATTCCTCCTCCCCGTCCTGCTCCCCCTCCCGCTCGAAAAACTCCTCAATTTCGCGCTGCCCCTCCCGCAATTGCCGGCGGGAGACGCGGCGTTGCTGCCGCCTGCGCGCGGAGGCCGTCTGCTGCATGAGCGACGCCCTCGCGGCTTCCGTGGGGGACGGACTGACGTCACTGCTGGCGTCATCGTCTGGTGCTACTAGGGCCTCGCCCCATCGCTGTTGCTCGATGCGCCGCATCTCCGCTGCTGCTCGTCTCCGCCGGCCTGCGGGGAGAGAGAGGGGGAAGGAAAGGGGACAGAGGAGGAGAGGTGGGGCGGGGGGGGGGGGGGGGGGGGGGGGGGGAGGGGGGAGGAAGGAGGACCGGGGAGCTTTAGAAACAGAATCATGTTTGGACACATCGGGATGGCAACGCATGAAGGGAGGAGTGCGTGGCCGAGAGATGCAGGCTGGTGTTCTCTGAGAATAAGAAAGAACGCCTGCAGGGTCACAGGCGTGGACGAGCTACGGACGGACGGATGCGGGTCATCGAAATGGCACGTGTATGACACAGCGAAATGTGCATATTTTCCGACGGAGGAACGTTACCTTTGCCGGCTGACCGGGTGGTGGACGGGCCATTGCTCTGGCCACCGGCAACTCCTGATAGAGGGTTGACATTGGGATATTGGGATGGAATAACTCGTTTAGGGATGAGCCACGACGAAGGAACACGACAAGCACGAGCATTTGCGCACGACTGGAACGCGGTGCGAACGGATTGAGGAATGGACGACGCATAGGAGGGGAAATTGCGTTCGTCTTGGAGAGAAGGGGCACGGAGGCATGGCAGAGGTATGCCGTGGCAGGGAGGCGTGGTGAGGTGTGGCGTGGTTGTGAAGCACACCGGGAATGACGCGGGGAGTGCTCTCCGCAGGGACTTTTGAGTCGACTCAAAAGTCAACTCTGAAGCACACCTGGAATGACGCGGGGAGTACTCTCCGCAGGGAGGATCGTGGCTGTTCCGCCACTCATGGTCCCCACGCGCAGCACACCACGCGACAACCACTCTACCGAGACGGTAAACGGACGAAAGTGTGACCGGCGACGAGAGACGCGCGATGATCGCCGCGCGACGAGCGCTACCGGGTGGCAATACGGCAACTGGCACCTCTCAAGGCGTCAGTCTTCGCGTGGCGAGAGCGCAGGTCGTGCTATTCCCGAAAGTGATCAGCCGTAGACACAAGTGTCGCTGCCTGAACGAAGGTGTGGCAGCAACTGAGCAATAGGATCGGACGTGGTTGAGTTCTTCGTAACAACCCGCTGATCTCTCCTTCAGTAATCCGCGTCACGCGATTGTATATAAGTACTAATCAGCTGGTCACGTTACGAAGCTGGCCAGGGAGGACTCGAGGAGGAGTGGAAGGAAAATTGAAGTCAGGGAATTGGCATTTGGGGGTACCGTTCCGTCTGGCTGGACATTGACGGAATTGTTTATTCACGGAGGCAGCTATTGACGGTAAGGGGCGTTTCCGCCCTTCCGCACGGTTTGCGCCGATTGGTTGTTGGCAGGTTCTTGGACGGGAAATGCTCCAAGACTAGACGGAGACAACCGATGCTGATTCCGCCTCCTGTGATTCTGTGCTGCACGGGATTCCGCCTTGGGGGAGGATTCCGTTTCTGACGCGTCAAATACGGGCACGTGGCCAAATTACACTCGCCATGACAAGAATCCAGCCTGGGCACTGGTGGACCACACGAAACTGGTCAACCGCTAACCCTCCACACGAAGCCACTAAAGTTTCGCGAAGCTTCGCTGTCGGGTGGGTTTAACTGGATCCTGTACAGGAATCCGTAAAGCCTCGAAAAGGACTTCAGGGGACGAAGCGAATATCCAAAACCCCTGTCAGGTACACGTGTTGCAGCCTGAGCCGTGTAGGAAGCGCTGCCACGTTGCAATTTTGTCAGGGCGGGAAAGGCATTTGGGACGAATCAAATTATCGTTTTGAGCTTGGGGATTCCCCAACTGCGTTTGATGTTGGTGCGCTAATTCTTATAGAACCTCATGCCATCTCACCATCCCAACTACATCTGACTTCTTTAAAGACTACGTGTGCACAAAAGAAAAGAGGGGTGAGAGTATGGCGTGTAAAGCCTTAACCACAGAAATGAAGCAGCACAGCCATCACATAAATGAGTGGGAAAAAAAATCAGCTCCCTGGAGAAATATGAAGGTTGACAGGCAAAAGTGGTGTAACTAGTGTGGATTTATCAATCTTCAGCATTGTTTTTATTTTTGCTGCAGTCCATCCGCTCTTGACAATTGGTGGTCAAGCATGATTCCTTTCGCTTGCTATAGCGGTTCAACCTTGTATGTCGTTGTTTTCTGTACAGCACCACCGAAACGACGGAGTCAGCGGTTCAACATCTGGTCAAACCGTCAAAGGCGTTACGTCAACCTACAACGAACGAAGCTGCGTTGGCGTGTGGTTACCATTCCGACGCCTGTAAAACCTGTTTATTGTACAATACACCCACTTCTGTTTCCATGTACACTCTGAAAATGTACTCACCGCGTGCATGTACACTCTGCTCGTGTCGTGACTGCTTGTGAATCGTGACCCATCCTGCAGCTGCATTTCCTAATCGCGGTTTGCTGCCGTCCCTCCAGCCCCCATCCTTGACCTCAGTTCCCCTGTCCCTCCTCCCTCCCACTTAGTGCGTGGTGTGTGTGGTGTGTGTGGTGATGATCTTGGAGGACGGTGGAGGGCGGGTGGGAGGGAATAGGGCGACACGACGCCACTGCCCGAAGTGAAGCGACTTGCGTTGATGCATAGGGGCAGTTATCTTGTTGGGTAAGTATCTTTGGCAGGGGTAGTACTAGCGACCCTGCGCTTTGAAGGGGACTACAGTGCCAGTAGCGGGCACTTTCCACCCCTCCATGCTTCAGACAGGGAAGTTATAGAAACAAGACCGTACTCTTCCCCAAATTCACCCACGTGTCACCAATTTCCATGCCACGGACATTCTGACCAACTGTGCGCAACAGACTTTTGTCCCTTCTGCCAAATCGAAACCAATCTGACCGCGGGCAAACAAATTAAACCCCAATCGGACTGCATGCCATTCGGGAGCCTCAACCCCAAAATTTCAGGGTTGATGCCTCTCGAATTGAATGCCTTTCATGCGGGGTTTATTGTTTTTACTTGCCCGCCGACTCATTGCACTGCCTGCTGACGCAGGCATGTGTTCCGAAATTTTGGGCGCGAAACATTAGCCTATCAGATTTCGGAACAGTGTGGCAGCCGAGCCACTCAGAGTGTGGATTCGATTTGGAAATTGGTGACACGTGGGTGAATTTGGGGAAGAGTACTGTCTTGTTTCTATAACTTCCCTGTCTGAGGCACGGAGGGGTGGAAAGTGGCCGCTACTGCCGCTGTAGTTCCCTTCAAAGCGCAGGGTCGCTAGTAGTACCCCTGCCAAAGCTACTTACCCTATCTTGTTTCCCTCCTCTGAAGTCAGCGGGTTGTCAGGTCAGGGACTCCCAGGAGGAAAGCCAGCCACATGCGGCGGTCCCTCCGCTGGTTTCTAAACTGTACTGTATGCGCGCAATTTTTCGTCTCGGGCAAAAACTGGAATGCAATGTGTTCTCGCTCGTTCTAATCGTACTGCACAACCCGCAGGCCAGGGAGAAGGAACTGAGCTGGTCGTTGGTGGGGTTTCACGAACACCTGGAGTTCGGAACGTCGAACCGAGACGCAACCAACCAAAGAGAAACTGACACGAGAAATTAGTTGATCTGCTTCACCACACTTCTCCATCCCCTTCCCCCTTGCCCTGGGAATGACGAATGGGGAATGAGAGGGGCTGGGGAAAAGAAGGGTGGAGCCGGAGATGGGGAAGGTTTGGGTGCTCACTTTCAGCACCCTCCGCGCCTTGCTGAAAGGGGGAAGGCGCGGAGGGTGCTGCGCGGCTGGCGCCAGTCGTCCATTTCCGTTTCGTTTCGTTTCGTTTCGTTTCGTCCCGCTGCCCCTTGCTCTTCAATTCAAACTCGCAGCACAAAATATTTGATGCGAGAAACCGACCTCTGTGCCTGGCAGATTCTATCGGCCCTGTTCGACAGGCAGGCACCTCCTTGGATAGCTAGGGTTAGGCTAGAGCTAAGAGGAGTTTTCGAAGTAACTTCTCCTAGGCTACCCCCCCACCCACGAAATCGGAAGCAGCGCCTCCCGAGGTCGGAAGGAGGGGGTCGTCATGGCGATGTTGCAACCCCTCCTTCCACCATCTTCATCGTGGGCAGGGTCTAATTTTTTCATAGGGATGGCATGGGAACCTGGGTAACTCAAGGGAATAAAAAAGATTGGAGAAGTGGAGAAGTGAGGTGAGAGTCGTGCGTGGCTGGTGGCTCGTTTGGTTGTGTGAGGAAGGGACTTTTTCAGGGGCAGAGATGGGAGAGGCGAGAGCATGGGCACTGGTGGGAAAACTTTCGTAGGGTATGGGGTGGGTATTCCCTCCCGTATGGAACCCTAGCTTAGCCCTTGGCCAACCTCCCTTCTGGGGATTGGAGGGCTGGGCTAGAGCTAGGCTAAAGCCTGCGCGGGAGAGAAGGAGCTGGGAGCTTTCGGGGGAGATGAAGTTGAAGGGTTAACGTCGCGTTCGACAGGCTAACCCTTAAAGCCAGGATCTCAAGTACCACAAATGTTTTGCAGTTGATGGTTGGAGCTTGGCTGCGATTGGTCGACGAGGTGCAAGGGGTGCAGCGAGGGGTGCGAAGGAAACTGAACTCGTTTGTGTGTGTCCGAACCTTGTAGGCATGGAGTTTGGTTCGGATCCGAAGCTAGAATGCCACAAATTTGCCGACAGTCTCATGTTTCTGAAATTGTTTTGCATTTGGTGCTGGGGCAAAAGCTTGGGAGTGTCGCACGCCAAACTGCCTAGCCAACCAGTCTACTTCGCATACAGAAACGGGGTAACTGAGCGTCAACTGTTTTGCAATTTCTCTTACTTGAGATCCTGGCTTTAACCCTTCAGGTTGCAAGGCGTTAAAGCCCAGTGACACCAATTTGCGGGCTGACCGTGAGAAAAAAACCTACGTGGAAACAGCCGTGATGATTCCGCGGAAGGGCTTGCCTGCCCGTCGAACAGGGCCATCGCCTTTCCCAGTCAATCAGGAAATTCTTGTGGAGACATCGCATGACAGCCAAAATCCATCTCCACCACCCAACTCTCAAGCTGTTCTTGCTTCGTTCTTGCGGATCACGGCGCGTTCACGCGCGAGCTTGTTATCCCAGCTCATGCAGCAGGTTGCGCCGAGAACGTGAACTTGATTTTTCCTTGACTAGTTATTTTCCTCCACGAGTTGACGGGCCGAGGTGGCCGTTCTCGTAACTCATTTCCCTCGTCTCGACGTTTCTTCATCCAGAGGCCATTTTTATGGGACCATCGATTGCCGTCCTTAGCAAAGCGCTTCTGAACTCGGGGAATCTATGCGATCATTACGACGTCGGGGATGAGATAGGTCGCGGACAGTATGGGGTCGTGCGGGAGTGTCGTGAGCGCGCCACTGGCCAGAGCTTCGCATGCAAGTCAATCGCAAAATCGTCGCTCGCCACGCACGACAGTCGCGAGGCCGTGCGACGGGAGGTTGCGATCATGCGACGGCTGGCCGGATGTCCCGGCGTCGTCTCGCTGGCTGGAGCATGGGAAGATTCTCGCGCAGTGCATCTAGTCATGGACTTGTGCGCGGGTGGGGACCTGCTGCGCCTCGTAGAGTTGGCGGACCACCTCGGGGAAGCTTGCGCGCGCGCGGTGTTCGCAGAGATTGTGCGGGCAGTGGCGGAGTGCCATGCGCGGGGAGTGCTGCACCGGGATTTGAAGCCAGAGAACGTGCTTCTATCGAGGCCAGTGCCCAACAATGCTGCCCTGATTGAACTCATTCAGTGTACTGTGGCGGATCGTACGGTTTTTGGCGGAAACAACGGCGACAGCACGGAACGCGATGCGAAGGGACGGGGTTCATGTAACACGAATTCGGGGGACTCGTCGTTGGTTAAGCTGACAGACTTTGGGCTATCAGTCATCGAAGCGGCAGACCGTCGAGGCGCGAAAGAAGTCGCCGGAAGCGCCTATTATCTTGCGCCGGAGGTATTCTCCGGGCGCTATTCGTTTCCCGCCGACGTGTGGAGCTTAGGAGTGGTGCTCTTCGTGTTGCTTTCCGGTTGCGTTCCTTTCGGTGGCGACGACGACGACGAAATCGGCGAATCTATTCGCGAAGGCAGTTTTACTTTTGACGAAGAGAGTGGTTCTGTTTGGAAGGAAGTCTCGCCGGTCGCGAAAGATCTGATCTGCTGGATGTTGGCGAAAGAGGAGGATCAACGGCCCACAGCAGCGCAAATCCTTCGCCACCCGTGGTTTTGTCCCACTACGGAAGCAACATTCTACAGTGCAACTCTGATTCCAGCTACACCCACTGTCAGCGGCTGGGGGAGCAACGGCCTGGATGGTGCCTATACCGAAGGACACTATGATGAAGCCATTTTGTACAGCGACTATTATCTCCCTCATCTGCTCAGCCATTCTGTGCCTACCTCGCCAACCACCAGCTACACGTCAGATCTCTTCTCCTCTCCCTCTTCTCTTGTACAGGACGCCATCTCCCTTCTTGGGAGCTGGAGCAGCCTCCCGTTATTAGCCTCCCTCTCGGGAGTCTGAATCTCAGTATAGTCACACCTCGCATAGTAGCCCCATGTTTACCCCAACCTCTCCAGCAAAGCATCATCCGTCCACAGGTGGCACGGAGAGTACAGCAGATCTGAGCAAGCATGAAGCGTTCACAACTGATGCGGAACCCGTTACTGTGTTACCACAGTCTTGTGCGAGCCAGAACCAGCAGGAGCAGAAGCAGCAGCAGCCAGAGAAGCAGTTGCAGTCGGAGGAGAAGCAACAGCAAGGCCACTTCTTCCTACCACAATATGTGGGGTGGGTTGGAGGGGGGCTCTTGTTTTAACCCACCCCCCAAGGGCCCCACCTGCCCTCTACATACCATCATGTCAGTCTCTCCTGCACCTGATTACTTGGGAGTACTTGCAATACAACCACAGGGTTGCGAGAGTCTCCCCAATAAAGCCTTCTTGCTGCATACTTGACAGCAACAGCAACAGCCACGATGGAGCTCTGAGTGGTTGGCTTAGGAATAAGCAACTGTGTTGGAGGGCAACACGTATGTTGCAGTCCACTCTCTGGCGTTATCTGCATATTGTTGTCCTCCTCACTGTCAATGTATTTATTATATAGTGTAACAATTCGATCTCGTCAAAAACCAATCCAAGAAAGGACTATGCGACATTGCACAGGCACACATACCGCCGTCGGATTATCCCTGGATACAACTCAACCAAAGCAGCTAGAACAAAAGAAATACTTGGCGGTGGAATTTAAATGTGATGTGCAGCACGACTCACTACTTATGAATGAAGAAGGGTTCATATCGGCTCTTTATCAGACATCCTCAGCTGCAAGAGGAAGAGAAAAATAGTACCCAACATCCCCATACAAATCCTTGAAGAGCCTTGCTTAAGGAAACAATGTTTAACTATTTTCTTAGATTGTAATTATTGTTTTATATCATTCGTGTTTTTCAGAGTTTTTGACTGGGTCATAGGAGCAGAAACAGAGAAACGCTGTTATGGATTATATTTATTCATACCATAACAATATAACATAGTACCATCCCCCCTTGTAGACTTCGCCAGGTGCGTTAAGATCTGGTGGTAATCCACGACTTCTGTTGGTGGTTGGAGTGCTAGTTACCACCTTGAGATTTCGTTTCATCGGTCGCCAATCGTTGTTTGCTCCTTCCCCTCCCTGCTGATGAGCCCTCTCCCCCTGCTCGTGTTTTCCCTGGCACCTCCATCCCACAAATACCCCCGATGCCTCCCCGAATTCCTCTCCGCGCAGTTTTCCTCTCCCCTCCCTCTCAACCCCTCTCCGCCGCGTCTCCCCCCTTCTCCCATCATGCTCCCCCTTCCTCTCCCCCAGCCTCCCCTTCCCTTCTCCCTCTCCCCTCCCCTTTCCCCTCCTCCCCTCCTTTCCCCTCCCATCCCATTCCCCCTGTCCATGCTTCTATGTGGCAAGCTTCAGGCCTCCCCAGCCCCAGCCTCAGCCACAGCCTTTCCCTGTGACCTTGCTGCAGCATAAACGCCTCTTCGCCTTATTCCTTTCTCCTTTCCCAGCAAACCCTTCTCCCCCCCTCTCCGTTCGCCCTCCCTGGTGCGTTTCCAGCCATGCCCTAGCGCGAGACTATGTTTCTTAGGTTTAGTACCAGTATTGCGAGGAGGCCTTGATTCGCGGGATTAGAAGCTATGCATTATGCGGGGCATTTTGGTTTTGATTAAGAACGCCGTTGGTCGTTCGTTGTTGTATCGTCGGGGCTGTAGGTCGGGTCGCGAGGGTTTGTAGGGTAGATCGAGGAATTGCGCAAATGAGAAGGTGCTTCTTCATAGCGCGTCGTAGACTTGCAGTTGAGCAGATGGTCGACTCTTGCTTCAATGCCACCAGCTATCTAGGATCGGCTCGAAATTCGTGCGCTGTATTTTGTCTCTCGCGTCGTAAGGACTTCCAACTTCAAATGGCCGCAGTTCGGCTACGTCACGCCCTTGCGGCATCGCCTGATTTCTCCCCCGTTTTTTCCTGACTCCCTTTCCCAATTCCTTTTCCGTCTTCAATCCACAGGGGAGGAAGCTTTTTCTCTAAAGCCGCGAGCAGATTTGTTAGAAGCGGCAGATAGCGTGACGCCGCCATGGTGCGACACAACAACCAGGTGCCGAATGCGCACTTCCACAAGGACTGGCAGTCGTACGTGAAGACATGGTTCAACCAACCCGCCCGCAAGAAGCGCAGACGGATCGGTGCGTGCGTGCGCAATTGGTGTTCACGTCAATTCACACCCCTCGCACTCTCGTATTCTAGTTCTGTTTTTTCTTCTCCTCTCCCCGTTCCCGCCCCCCCGCCGCTTCCCGTTCCGTTTCTCTGTCTGTCCGAGCGTCGGTGTAAAAGAGCCGATGAACATCGTCTCCCCGCCCCTTCTTAATGCATTCACCCTTAATCACCTGAACCATATTTGGTTGTACTCCTTGTGCGCCCTTCCTCGCCTTCTCCCCTGTTCATTGATAAAAGCGAGGAAGAATACGACTGATCTATTCCCTCTTCCCACAACTCCACAACCTTTGTTTTTTCCTCCCTCCCGCCCTCCTTCCCTTCTCCCCTTCCGCTCTCCCCCTTCCGCTGCCCCCCCGGTTCGGCGAGCAGCGAGGCAGAAGAAGGCCGTGAGCATCTTCCCGCGCCCTACAGCGGGGCCCCTGCGGCCGGAGGTGCACGCGCCTAGCATCCGCTACAACTCCAAGATCCGCGAGGGCCGCGGCTTCACCCCCGCCGAGCTCAGGGTGCGTCCCCCCTATATTTCTTTTGACTTCCCGGCGTCTTTCTGTGGCTTCTCTACTGTATTCTTCACCCGCATCTTTCTCCGCGCCTCGCTCGCAAATTCGTCTATAACGCAGTAGTGAGCACAGCGGGTTTAAAAGGGCGGAACGTGCCTCCGCTCTGATGATTGGGTATCGGGTATGCAAGGTCTGTCGGCAAGGAGTGTGGCACCTGCCAAGAGTTTCCTATCGCAGTGCAGCAATCTGAAGTGACTTTTACGTGGTTGCTTGCGCCTCTTGCAACGGCTGGCCAAGGCTAGCCGAGCGTGCGAATCACATCATGCTTTAACCAGGCTGTCTGCTAGGTTGTGAGATAGGTGGATTGCGAGAGAGCCTTACTCGTAGCGAGTCGTTTTAACCCTAGTTTTTGCTGGGAGGCACTCTTCTTGCAGCAAGTAATACGCCCTAGAGACTTAGGTACTGAGAAACCTCAGTACCCTAGGCTCTGAGGTTTTGTTGCAACCAACTCTGGGGGGTGAACTGCCTCGGTTGCTTGCATTTCCGTATGGTTTCCCTGCCCTCCCCGCCACTTCCGCCCATCGGTCGTATTCCGTGTTTTCATCGGTTTCACTCGTCGAACTCTCACCCACGTCTGTAACACCCGTCTTCGTCCGACACCCCCTTCCGCCCACCCCCTTGCGCGTGCCCGCGCAGGAGGCGGGCATCCCCATTAGGGTTGCGCGCACCATCGGTATCTCCGTGGACTCGCGCCGCCGCAACCGCAGCCTGGAGAGCCTGCAGGCGAACGCCGCGCGTCTCAAGGCGTACAAGGCCAAGCTCGTCGTGTTCCCGCGCCGCTCCAAGAAGCCGAAGGTGAGAACACGTGGATTAAAGGGATGGGGAGGAGAGGGGAGGAGCGCGGGGAGGGGAGAAACAAGGGAGAGGAGAGGGGAGGAGAGGGGATAGGGGGAAAGGTTGTCTGGAGGGTAGGCATGGTTGGAGATAGGTTGTGAAAAGGATGTAAGAGTAGTTGGGCTTGAGGCGGATTGGAATTGCAGGATGGAGGCAGATACTGTATGGTGTGCGCGGGTGTGTGCATAAGGCGTGACCGTCGGAGTTCAGATGGGCTCATCGGCTTCTTTTTTTTTGTCAGAATGTTTGGCATGTGGGTAGTCGGTGTCGACCCACGTTATTCATCTCCAGCTCCCCTTGCCTTGCTGGCCTGGCGTGTTTTGCCCCCGCCTTGCTCTCTCGTCTCTGCACTAAGTCTATACCTGCGTGCTCTTTTTCCTTTTACACCCACGAACTCCCCTTCGTGACACCTGTCTATGCACAAACCTTTTGGGGCTCCTTACTCACCCTGTACTCCCCCTCTCCGCCCTTCCCCATTCCATGATCTCCCCCCCCTCCCCTTTCTCCCCCTTCCCCTGAACCCCTCTCCGCCTCCCCTCTCCGCCTCCCCCTCCGCTCCGCCTCCCCTCTCCGCCTCCCCCTCCGCCTCCCCCTCCGCCTCCCCCGCTGCAGGCTGGCGACGCCTCGGCCGAGGAGCTGGCAGCCGCCGTGCAGCACGTGGGCGCCGTCCTGCCCATCGTCAGGCCCGCCAAGGACGTGCCTCTGGAGGCCGTTACAGAGGAGCTTCGCTCAGTCAAGGCCTACGAGACTCTCCGCCAGGAGAGAACCAAGGCTCGGCTCGCAGGCATCCGCAAGAAGCGCGCTGCGGACAAGGAGAAGGAGGAGAAGAAGTAAGCAGTCGGAGTGGGATGAGAGGAGCGCGCTCGTGGTGGTGGTTTGGGTGTGGATGGTGGTGGTTGTGGGTAGCTGTGGTGATGGCAGTTGTAGGGTGACTGCTGCTGCAGTTGCTTTGGTGTCGGCTGCTGTCAGTAGCAGTGCCATGGGCAGCAGGAGGTTCGAGAGGAAAGAGCAGAGTGTGTGGGTAGGGGAGGCAGCAGGAGCAGCAGCTGACCTTGTTAATGTGTAGTTGCTGTGTTGCTTGCTGTTTCCAACTGTGATGTCTGAAGTTGAAGCACTTGAGATCTGCATACAGCCCTTTCATGCAGTGTATTGAATTTCAATGCCAGCTGCTTGAATGCAACTCAGTTCTGGTAGCATTTGTAGCTTTGTGTTATGGGGAAGAAAAGTTATTCAGACGTTTGAAGTCGGAAACTTTTCATTTGAAATAACATTTTGGTAGAGTTTCACGAGTCAGTTCTTGTGGAATACACATGATGCTCAGCTGTTGCACGCACATTTGGTCTGCCCGTATTCGACAGCCTGCCCAATTGCATTTGGTACCAGCCAGTTGCACGCACGATACAAGCCCATGTTTTGATCGCAGCCGTTGAACATACAGCTTATCTCGCTGGCATCTGTCCGTTCGTGAGATATTTTGAAGGCGCTAGTTACATTTCTTCACCTGCCCACTACAGTCCCGATTTTTCCCGTGGCGAATGTTGGCGAGCAGGCGAAAAAGCTGTTGCTCACTAAACACCCAAATGACGAGAAAAGTTGTGGATACTTAGCGGGCATCATGTGTACGGAATTCAAGCATGTGAGGTACACGTCAGCCAGTGCTGGTGGCGTGCATGCGCGACATGGCAGGACGGCGCACGATCAAGATGTTACCGTAACGTACCGATCTGTCCCGCCCGAATTGCTGGAATTTCAGCAGCTGCGGCATATCTGATGACGTCACAGCGTGTATCTCGGATGTAACTGGGTGGGAGGCGATGGTGGCTGGCTCTTTTCACGGTTCCACCCCCATTTCGTCGTCATTCAGACGACCATCTGTTCCGTTCCGCCGGTCGGTCGGTGCTGCTGGCTTGCGACAGCAAGTGCGTCGTTAACGGAATCCGTCAATCTGCAGTCAAATCAGCCAGTATGTTTGCGACTGCGACTGCACGGCTCGACAATTCCGAGGCCGCCATTCACCCAACAGTCCTTCGAGCATCTTGGAATAGAAGGCGACCCGCAAGAAAGGAAACGGCGCGTTTCGCTACTCTGATTGCTGTCAAAATGGCTGTGACAAGAACGTGTCGAGTTGACGTACTCTTGCCGACCTTGACGCGTCGCACCTCGAATCCCATTCCATGGCCTTCGCCATGCGAGCAAACGAGCGGGAGAAACGAGTGGAAGCAGAACGACGAGTGCAACGCGACATCGACATCAATATCGACATCGCACTGTCTTGGCCTCTCGCGGGCACCGCGCTCTCCTGCTGATTGCGTCTGACCAGCTCAAGCGTGATTCTGCGCAAACGCGCTTATCCAAACGCCAAGATTGATTCACAATCTGCTTATCAGAGCGGAAGTTGCGGATAGACGGTGTCCGTCGCACTGAATCATCTCGCTTGGCGGAAAATTGCACATTCGTAAAAGCTTAAGCCACGCGCTTCCAGCTCTCGTGCGAAAACTCGCCCAGTACTAAAACTCTTTTCCAGACCCCTGCTGCTTTTCCAGTGAGGCGCGAGTGAAGCGTCCTCTTCGCAGTTTGAATGCCCCCGAACTCTCTTAACCGTCACGAGTGTAAACGCACGTGCGACGCGACGCGGAGATGTGAATGTAGGCGAACGCGCGTCGTGATGGCTCTATAATCTCTGTGATGGAGACTTCAAGGCGAGGGGAAAAAGGAGCCATGGAAAAGGCCACGACGATTAACTGCGGCAAGAAGAGCCGTCGCTCAACATTCCGGCTGATCGCGCGGCTGATTGTGATTCTCGCTTTGACAACCCTCGTTACAGTCGCGGGAGACGGCAGGAGCGCATTCGTCTCGTGGATCGCACAAGGCCGCTCGCTCCTCGCTCCTACTGTGTTGTTCGAGGGAGCCGCGGAATCTGTTTCGTCAAGCATCGGTACTACTACTACTCATTCAGTGGTTTCTTTTGATGAGCAGTTACTCTTGGGCAAGATCTCGAGGAATCATTCGAAGGCCTTTTCCGGCCCCAAGAATTGTGACGGCAGCAGCGCATTCGCATTTGAATCGCGCGTTGGGAAGCGTGCGCGGCGGCGACCCGACGTGGTTATCTCGGCTAAGGTGTGTCACGACTTGCGACTCGCGTCGCCGTACTCACAAATTACGAGAGATCCGACGGAGGGAGGAGGTTCCGCATTACAAGTAGGTTTGCTCTTGGCGTGTAACACCTGGACTGGACCCACTTGTTGTGCGGAACAAGACTGGACTGGACTGGACTGGGTACCCAGTGGCACGGGAGTGCATAGCCTTTTCTATGGCTCCAGTCCAAGACCTTTTCTGTTTAACCACCTTTTTCTTCCTGCTTCACGCTTTCATGCAGGGCCCGCTTCATGGGCGTCTCGAATCCATTTGCGCAGGCTATGCCTTACGTGACCTTCTTACTACCATACAGATGCGACGCACTCCAGCAACAGCCGATCTATCCTCTCCATCTCTCGCAAATCAGCTTAGTCTGGGATTCTTGTGGTTATCTGATGATGATATGCCTTTTACTCATTTACACGACATTCTTGGATCATTGCCGTCTGCTCGAGCTCCACTGAGTGATAGAAGAGATGTGCTAAAAGGGCATGTATATGCCCTTGAAGGAGCGAGGAAAACGCTGCAAGATACGAGCCATGAGTGGGAACGGGGTCAGTCAGTCCGTGCAAGAGGAGACGGAGAAGGGAGCCGTGGGGAACGGGGTGAAAAGGCAGTGCGGAAGAGGGAGGGAGGGCGTAAAGGAGGCGATCAGGAAGAGACAATGACACCCATTGTGCTGCACCGTCGACCTCGATGGCTCGACTCGGGACTCTTCGTTCCAATGGTGCGTCTCCTTTCTCCCCATGCTTACTCACCTGCTGCCACCCACACCACATCTGTAGTCCTCTTGTATTTTTTCCACACATCACACAGTGCAACTTGACCATGCTCCATTCGTTTCTGCTTTGAATATTCTGAGCGACTAAAGAACGTGGCACATGCTAGATCAAACAGTACCGTTTGTCCTTGCTTTCCAGACGAACCTGTACCTGTTGCCAAGTATGTTCATACAAGCTTGCATTTGCGTCTGCAGGAATTTTCCTGGCAGGTTCTCCAACCGAAACCAGCAACCACGGGTCCTGCATCCTCCTCCTCCTCCTCCTCCTCCTCCTCCTCCTCCTCCTCCTCCTCCTCCTCCTCCTCCTCCTCCTCCTCCTCCTCCTCCTCCTCCTCCTCCTCCTCCTCCGCAACCTCTCCACCTCTCTCCTGCCCCCCTTCTCTCATTGTCAACTGCACTGCCCGACGCCTCATGTGGTTCTTCCTCGGGCAGCCCGAAAAAGATGCTACAGTAGCAGGCTACTGGCCTTCCCAAGCCATAGCAGTCGCCCGAACCTTCCACCCGAACCGCCAGCCGAACCTATTAATCTCCACTTTAAGGCGGTCCGTATTATGTAGACCCAACCCTGTCTGGGGAGATTCACCTCCCCCTCCCCTTGTCCCTGCTGCGTTGAGTGTGAGGGAGAGGGAGGAAAGGGGTTGGTGGAAGGGAGATTTCGGGAGGAGATTGGGGGACGTATCAAGAGCAGCAGGCGAAGGAAGGGAAGCAGAACCATTCAGAGGGGGAGCAGCAGCATCAAGGTCAAAGCAGCCAAGAATGCGGCCGAGGGAGCAGGCGATTCTTTGCTCCCAGCTGCAAGCAGCAGAGCTCTTCACTCTCCCAGCGGCACAGGGGCTCATTCATATGATATCCTCGCCACAAGCCTACCTGATAAGAGCACAAGCCCGGGCGAGAGGGGCGGTGGTGGCGATGAGGGAGAGTGGTGCTCCTGCTGAGAGTGTGCCTATGGGAGAGGGGAGGAGTGAGAGTGAGAGTGAGGGTGAGAGTGAGAGTGAGAGTGAGAGTGAGGGTTGCCGAGTGAAAGAGAATGTTAGGGACGAGGGGGTGAGAGAGAGTGGGGGTGCGGGAGTGAGAGTGAGTGAGAGTGTGGGAGGGGAATCCCCTGAGGCGGCGGTGTTTGAGGAGGAGAGAGCGTTGTGTGAGTCGCCGGCTATGAAGCCCATCACAGAACACCGAATCGGGAAGGAACTCATTGTGGATGGTAAGCAAGCAAGCAGGCGAGCAACACATCTTGTTTATTCTTTAGGCGCCTCAGAACAAGCCTTGTGTGAGTCGCTGGCTATAAAGCTGATAACAGAGCACAGGATCAAGAAGGAACTCAAGTGATGGTAAGTAAGCAAGCAAGGCATCTTGTTCCCTCCCTTGTTCACAGTGAGCCGTTTGCCTTCGATTCTAGTGACTTTTGAGTCCGTGTGAATGGTGATGTTAGTTTCGGATTTAAAGCATCAACAGCTCTTGTGATGGATGGTGATTTACGCACACCTTGTCCCCTTGTGAGAATACTCAAAAGTGACTCCCGTGTCTTCCCGCACTCTGCTCTCCTCTGCTCTGATTTCATTTCAGCTGTTTTAATCTGCTCTCCTCCCAAGTCCCCTCCTCTCCTATCCTCTCCTCTCCTTTGCGTCCCCTCGTCTCTTATCCCCCCTGCCCCTTCCCTCGTTCCTCCTTCCAGAGTCCCTCGATCTGCTATACTGCGCTGTCTCCATAGCCGCTTGCACTAGCTGGAATGCCTGGCTGCGGCAGCAGCACAACAACTCAAGAAACAAAGTCAATTTTTTTAGGTGCTTCAAAAATGGAAAATGAAGGACATGCTTCCGCCCCATGCCCATTCCCCTCCCCGTTCTCCTTCCAGAGTCCCTCGGCCTGCAACACTGCACCATCCCCAAGGCCGCTTGCACCAGCTGGAAGATGTGGTTCCGGCAGCAGCACAACGACTCAGATGCCCAGTATCTTCCCCCAAACACCCCCCCCCCCCCCCCCCCCACCACCCCTCCCCCCTCCATTCCTCCTTCCAGAGTCCCTCGGTCTGCTATACTGCGCCATCCCAAAAGCCGCGTGCACCAGCTGGAAGATTTGGTTCCGGCAGCAACACAACGACTCAGACGCACACAACCTCCGAACCACGCACCTCCCCGCCCGCTCCCACCTCCCGGTGCTCTGGTTCGGCATGACCGAGCCTGAGGCGATACGTGCGGTGACGCGGCGAGACCTGGTTCGATTTGTGTTTGTGCGGGATCCGTTCTCCCGGGTGCTGTCTGCTTTTGTGAACAAACACGTGGAGGAAGAGGGAGGGGGGTGGGGGAAGCGACGGTGGTGGTCCCTGGTGAGTGAGTGAGAGAGTGAGTGAGTGAGTGAGTGAGTGGGTGAGCGAGTGAGTGAGTGAGTGAGTGGGTGAGTGCAAGGGGAGGGTGACACAAAAGGAGAGGTAAAACTCGAGCTACTGACTCACTCACTTACTCACTCCGTCCCCTCTGCCCCTCACCCCTCACTATCGTTCTCCTCTTTCCTCCGTACCTCTGTCCTCAAACCCCTTTGCCCTCAATTCCTTTGCTCTCAATTCCTTTGCTCTCAATTCCTTTGCCCTCAATTCCTTTGCCCTCAATTCCTTTGCTCTCAATTCCTTTGCCCTCAATTCCTTTGCCCTCAATTCCTTTGCTCTCAATTCCTTTGCTCTCAATTCCTTTGCCCTCAATTCCTTTGCTCTCAATTCCTTTGTCCTCCATACCTATAACCCCCACCTGTCAGTTGTTCTTTCAGCATCTCTTCTGGACCAGCAACACCACCCACCGCCCCTTAGGCTGGAGGGACCTGTTCTCTTCGCACCTGCCCTCCCTCTCTCCTTTCTCCTCCTCCTCCTCTTCTTCCTCCTCCTCCTCCTCCTCCTCCTCCTCCTCCTCCTCCTCCTCCTCCTCCTCCTCCTCCTCCTCCTCCCTCCCCCATTCCTCCGCCCCTGCACTCTCTGTCCACACCTTGCTCCGGCTGCAAGCGGGAGGCACGCTGTCATTCGAGGAGTTTGTGGCTCTGCTAGATGCAGCAAGAGAGGCGGATGGAGAGCATTTGATGGACAACCATATAGCACCGCAGGTGGGTGGATGGGAGGCAACAGGTGGGTGGGAGGCAACAGGTGAGCAGACTTTTGAGTCGACTCAAAAGAGCAGACTTTTGAGTCGACTCAAAAGAGCAGACTTTTGAGTCGTCTCAAAAGAGCAGACTTTTGAGTCGTCTCAAAAGAGCAGACTTTTGAGTCGTCTCAAAAGAGCAGACTTTTGAGTCGACTCAAAAGAGCAGACTTTTGAGTCGTCTCAAAAGAGCAGACTTTTGAGTCGACTCAAAAGAGCAGACTTTTGAGTCGTCTCAAAAGAGCAGACTTTTGAGTCGCCTCAAAAGCAGACTTTTGAGTCGTCTCAAAAGAGCAGACTTTTGAGTCGTCTCAAAAGAGCAGACTTTTGAGTCGTCTCAAAAGAGCAGACTTTTGAGTCGTCTCAAAAGAGCAGACTTTTGAGTCGTCTCAAAAGAGCAGACTTTTGAGTCGTCTCAAAAGAGCAGACTTTTGAGTCGTCTCAAAAGAGCAGACTTTTGAATCGTCTCAAAAGAGCAGACTTTTGAGTCGTCTCAAAAGGTGAGTGGTCAGGTGCTTTCTCAAGCATGTCCTCGGGTGAGAGCTCAAGTGCTTTCACAAGTGCTACTTTAGGTGCTTTCCCGGGTAATGATGTCTCAGGTATTTTGGGGGGGTGGTTTCTTGGGTGGTGAACTCCTTACCACCAAACCCTGTCTGTGTTCCTGTGTCTGTTATTTTTTCTTTTTAATTCTAAAAAATCAGACGGTGAACTCCTTTCCACCAAGCCCTCTCTGTGTTCCTGTGTCACTGTTCACCCGCTCTTGCCCCCCATCCGTGGCCCCATAACCCCCCACACCCCTTACCCTTTCCGCACTCTGCAGTCGCTGCTCTGTGAGCTTAACCACACTAAGTACCATCACATGTGAAAGAAGAGTGTTTTTGAGACGTCTAAAAACACACTCTTCTTTTCACATGGCTCGCCTTGAGCGCATGCACGGCTCTTCTTTTTACATGGAGGTTCCTGTGCTGACGGCTCTTGCCTCGGCCCCTCCCGACGCCCAACCTATGCTCAGCCTTCCCGCCCCCCTATCCCCCCCCTATCCCCCCCTTATCCCCCCCCTATCCCCCCCCTATCCCCCCCCATTCCCCCACCAGTCGCTGCTCTGCGGGTTGAACCACATCAAGTATGACTTTGTGGGGCGCTTTGAGAGCATGCATAGGGACGTGCTGGCACTGATGGCGCTGCTGGGGAGGCAACCCGGGGACGCCTTTGCCTTTGGGAAGAGCGTTCACTTCACCAACTCGTCCCACCGGCTGTCAGAGATGTTCCGAGACAAGGTGCGCGCGTGCAGCAGAATTGCATTCAAAGGTGCCTGTTGAGTCAGCTTTGGGAAGAGCGTTCACTTCACCGGCTCGTCCCACCGGCTCGTCCCACCGGCTCGTCCCACCGGCTCGTCCCACCGGCTCGTCCCACCGGCTCGTCCCACCGGCTTGTCCCACGGCCACTGGAGATATGTTAAATTCCGAGACAAGGTCTACGTGTGGTTGTGGGATTTCTTTTCTTCTTTGTTTGTTTGTTTGTTTGTTTTTTTTTAACTCAAGGTGCCTGCATGGGAGAGGAGACGGCGGTGAGGGTGCAGCAAGTGTTACTCTGTCACGCACTCTTCTACTAACCTCCTGCCCTTTTCCTTTTCATTGGAAATGCCTGAAAGTCTTACACTGTGTGTTTCTTTTGGTAATAACAGGAGGTGGGGTGAAGCGAGTGTATGCTACCGGTATTGACATGCACTCATCCCATACACTCCTGCCCCAATCTTCTAACATACCACTCTCTGTGTGTTTCCTACGGTCATTGCAGGAAACGTATATGAGGGTGAAGCGAGTGTACTCTATTGACCTGCACTCTTCACTCAACAGGATCCACTATGAGCCACCCCCTGAGCTTGCCGCTATGTTTGAAACAGCAAATTAACGTACAGTACAGCTCAATATGAGCTGTGTTCCATGGTAGTGTACATTAGTGTATGTATATTGTACCATACTCTGCATTGGCTGTGATGAAAAGTAGGAAAGTAGCTGCTCTGACTGATGAGCATATTCCATACCGGTATATATAAGGGACCTACTGAATATGCATATATAAGGAATGAATAAATGCGTAGGTACCGTATCTCCATCAACCGACCACAAACAAACACCTCATGATTAAACTCGCCGATTCTCTCCTCATGATTCCTGTGAAAACCCGCCAAGCCAAGCCAACACAGGGATTTTTGCCACACACTTACCTAACATCCCTGCCACACCACCCAACCCAAGCCTCCAAAGTGCTAACCCTTTCCTCATCTTGACTCCTCATACCCATCCAGGCCCTATGTTATCAGGATAATTTATCCTGAATTTCCTGAATTCAGGATAGGTGTTGTGGGTCTCTCCTGGAAAAACAGCATTAGGGAAATACTTGTCCTGTAAAATCAGTGTAGTGGTTATGTAGCGTACTGACAATTCAGTATAATGGTGTAGGTTCAGCCCTGATCATTCAGGATAATGTCGAATCTCGCACTGAAGCGAGATGTACTGCGGAAAAAAAAAATAGGCCAGGGTCCCCAAACACCGACTCCTGGTTCAAGCCCGAGGGGAACGGTGGCAAGGGGCCAGCGGGATTCGAGCTGACGACTTCTAGCGCGGCAGGACGACGTCTTAGTCACTACGCAACATTGTGTTACAGTATTACCTACCCTGAAGATTCAGTATACATGCTACACTAAAAAAACCCTTGTCGTGACTCCTCACACCCATCCCTCAAGCAACCCTCCCCACACCGCCCACCGCCTTATGCGAACTGTGTAACCCCCATGTTCCCCCCACACCCCCTGCCTCGTGCATGTGAGAGGCGACTCCCCACCAGGTCATGTGAACCACACACCAACCATTCGCGCGCATGCACACATGGCCACATGCACACATGGCCACAAGCCGTCCCCTCGCTGGCCGCTTGTCTCATGTGAACCGTCTCGCCGCCATGTGCCCCACATCCAGCGGCTGCTCCACCAGCAGCATCTCCCTGGAGAGCTCACTCAAAGCCATCCCTGCCCACGTGCCCCTGCCCCTTCCCCACGTGCCCCTGACCCCTGCCCCCTCCCTCAGCCTCTCAAGTGAACCGGATCGCCGCCATGTGGCCCACGTCCAGCGGCTGCTCCACCAGCAGCATCTCTCGCGCACTCCTGGCCAGCTCCTCGCTCTCCTCCATGAGAGCCTGCATGCTGAACACCAGCGAGTTGAACGACAGCATCGCCGAGTTCCGCACTATGCTCTCCTCGGGGTGCTGCTTCTTACTCGCTATCAGCACGTCCAGCACGTGGTTGTACTCGCGCACGAAGCCCTCCATTGCTCGCTTCCGCCCCGCCCGCCTGCCTCTTGTGTTGGTGCCGTGTCCTGCTGCCGCCGCATCAGGCCCGTCCAGTACGTGGTTGTACTTTTGAGACGACTTTTGAGGCGCCTCAAAAGCCGCATCATCCCCGTCGAGTACGTCGTTGTACTCGCGCACGAACCCCTCCATTGCTCGCTTCCGCCCCCCCCGCCTGCCCCTTGTGGTGGTGCCGTGTGCTCCCGCCACCGCTCTCCTTGTGCCAGTACACGGCGTCGATTCATCGCGATGACGAGTGTTTTGAGTTGTTTCACCCCGCCCACTCCTCCCCTCCTGAGTCGTCGCATCAGTCCCCTCTACGCTCACCCTTACTGCCGAATCCACTACACGGTTGCTTTCCTCCCCCTCTCTCTCCTCCCTGCTTCCCTCAACCCTCTCCTCCTTTCTATCCTCCCCACTCCCTTCCCCTCTCCCCTCCCCCCCCCCTTCCCCTCTCCCACTCCCATCCTCTGCCAGCAGCGGCCTAACACTGCCCCCCACCTCATCCCCCATGCCTCCTTGAAACGCCCCCACGCGCCAGCGCCAGCTGCGGAAACCCCCGAAGCTCTGGTGGTGGTGCTGCTGCTGCTGCCGGCGGTGCAGCAAAGGGAGGGAGCGGCGGTGGGGAGTGGGAGCGGCTGGGAGCGGCGGGAGGGATGGGAGAGCGGAGGCGAGAGAGGGAAGCAGCCATTGTATCTTGTGGTTGTGGGCAGGGAGGTGGCGGCGAGGGTGGGAGTCGGGGTGGGAGTCGGGGTGGGTGTGGGTGTCGCTGTGAGCTTCCATGCCCCCACCTACCGTCCAACGTGCCTTTCTCTCTCCTCTCCCACTCACTCTCCCACTCCCACTCCCACTCACACTCCCTCCTGCACCTGGACTCACTCCTGACGCGCCTCCCACTCCTGCCGTTCCTCGCCCTGCTACAGGCTCGCTCCTTCTCCTCCTCACTCTCGTCCTGCCATCCCCTTCATCCCTTTCTCCTGCTTCTCCTGATTCTCCACCCAATCTGGTGCTCTGATTGCCCCCAAAACTCACTCTCCTGCCGCCACTCCCTCTTCTACTCCACCCTCTACTGCTGCCCTCCTGCCTGCCCTGCTGCTGCCACTGTCTCTCCTCCTCATTCACATTCTTCTCCTCCTTCTCCAACTCCTCCTCCTTCCCCTCCTTTCTTCCCTTCCTCTCATCGTCTCCCTCCTCCTCCTCATCAGAATCCCCGCTCCCTACCCTCCACACGAGTCTCTTTGCATGTGCTTCACCCCCCACCCCTTCTCCACTGCTCCCTCCCACCCCGCACTCCTTTTCCCTCCTCACCAGCCCCTCCACTTCCTCTTCTTCCTTTCCTTCCCTCACACTCTCCACTCTCCTCCCTCCCCCCGTCCCACCGCCCCTCAACTCTCCCCCATCCCAGCTTCCTTCACTCCCCTCCCGCCTCTCCTCCTCATCCCACTCCCATTCAATATGCTCCCCATCCTCCCACTCCTCCCACTCTTCCTCCCACGCCTCTTCCCCTTCCCCTCCCCCCACCACACCAGCCCAGCTGCCATGGCCCCACACTAATGCACGCTCCACGCACCACAGAGCCACCACCATCTCTTCCTCCATTTCCCTCAGAGCGCCCCTTAGCGGCTGTACCAATCGCTCCACTTCCCTGCCTGTTTCGTTAGGTCTCCCGTGCAGCACCTTCACTCCCACTCCCATTCCCACTGCTCCCGCCCCCGCTCCCCCTCCTGCTCCTGATCCCAGTCCCATTCCCATTCCCGCTCCTACTCCTGCTGGTAAATATCTGCTGGGTGGTGCTGCTGCTGTTGCAATCGGCGCCCCTGCTACTGCCAACGCGCCCTGCGACACTGCTGCTTCTCCCAGTCGCTCCCCCTCCCTGCTCCTCTCACCGGAACTCCCATCAAGCATCTCAAAGCGTGCAGAGGGACCTGCATAGCTTATGTCTGCCATTTCTCCACCCGTGCCCATGCCACCCGCACTGGTCTCTCTGTTAGCGGCAACCGTTGGGAGCGGTTCACTGCTGCGTACCAGCTCCCTTCCGCCCACTGCGCCCCCCAAGGCTTCCCCCACTCCTTCTCCCACTGCTCCCCCCACTCTGTTGCCTCCGTCTGCGCCCACTCCACTTTCTGCGCCCACTCCGCCCTCCACCCCACCTTCTCCCCCTTCTCCCCTTCCCCCTACTTCCATTTGCGCCACCCCACTTTCTCCTTCCCCCTCCCTCTCCCCCTCTCTCCCTCGCGCCCTCTTCTCCTCAAGAACTCTCCACCCCTCCCTCGCAACCTCCATCTCCCTCTCCCTCCTCTCCTCCCTCTCCCTCCCCTCCACAGACGCCACAGCCCTCAAGCTGCAATCCATAAAGTAAAGCAACTGGTGCATCCTCTGCTGACTAGCCAACAGCCTCTTGTACGCAGGCTCGGGAAACGGAGCGTGCCAGAGCGCAGGCTCGGCGGTAGCTTCGTCGAGCAGCACCTGCTGCCGAGCCATACTCGCAGCCACAGCAGCTTGTAACTCTGCCACTCGTTTCACTGCCCCGGCTTTCTCCCTGCGCCGCCTCTCCTCCCTCTCATGGCCCGTCTCCCTGCTCTTTGTCATCACCCTTTCTTCTTCCTCCTCCTGCTGCTGCTGTTGCCGTTGCTGTGGCTGTTGCGTTTGTCCCTGCTGCTTTGATACCTGCGGTTCCCAAAGCCGCATCCAAGGCCACTGCCATTGCCCCTGCCGCTTCCCCTGCCCGCCACTCCCCCCTGCAGCCCTCCACTGCCTCCTCCCTGCAAACCCTCCCCTCCGTTCCCTCTCCTCCCTGCCTCCTCTCCCACTCCTCCTCCTCGCCCTCTGCCTTGCCCCCTCTTCTGCCCCTCCCCTCTCACGCCCTAGAAGGTCCGCTGCAGAATCAATCCGCTCCACTTCCCCCTCCTGCTGCTGCTGCCTCTCCCTGTCCCCACTGTCACTTCCCACATCCCCCTCCCCATCCCACCCATCCCCATGTGCCGCTGGTATAAACACAGCCACGGACCCACCCACAGGCTCACTCACGGGCCCACGCACAGAGTCCAAAACATCTGCCAAATTCCCCCTCCCTCCGTTCATCTGCACTGCACCGCTCTCTACTCCTCCATCCATCCCCGTTACCCCACCCTCTGCCCTCTGAGCCGATTCAAGAGTCACCTCTGCCTGCCCACCCCTCTGACCCATCTCAACAGAATAGCCAGCTTTTTTGTCAGCTGATGCAGGCACGTGCTTGGCCTTTCCTACAGCTCCCCTCTCGCATCCCTCGCTCCCTCTCCTCTCCCTCCTCTCATCATCCACTCCACTTCCTCTTCTTCCCCCACCGTCTCCCCCTCTCCCTCCCTCCCCCCCTCTGCCACCCTTACCCCTTCCCCTGAACCACCTTCCGAACCACCCTGCCCAGCTCGACCTGCCACCGTACCTCCCCACCTCCCTACCACCGCCCACCCCACCCGGCCCGTCGCCGAACCTCCCGCCGAGCCTTCCGCCGAACGTCCCGCCGAAGTAGGACCAGGCAACCGTGGCAGCACAGACACGGCAGCGAGTGATGTTGGCGACTAGCTCGGCCCGAGCCAGAGCCGCAGCACGCGTGGGAAAAACTAGAAGTTCTATTAGTATCACAGACACGAGACCAATGCACGTCTCTGTGATTCTCAATAAAGCGTAGTGCTCGACTGTTAAGTCGGAGAGGGAGACAGAGGAGGAGGGAGGGGAGGGCGGCGGGGACGAGGGAGAAAGGGCAGGAGGAGGAGGAGGGCTGTTGAGAGCCGGATACCCCAGCATGATAATCGCAGCAGTGAACGCCGCAACCACCCCTGCATATCCATACTCTTTACTCGTCCGCACAAACGCAGTAAAAAACACCCACACAGCCAGCGCCACCAGCAGCAGCGCCATGCGATCCGTAGTTAGAGGAACCAGCAGGTACCCAAACACAGCCCCTGCCACCGTCCCCTGCAGTCTCAGCATTGAAGCTTTGAAAGACCCGCCCTGGTACCCCCCTGAAACGAACGCTACAGTGACTGCCGCCCAGAAGTCGAACGTGGGGGAGACTAGGCCGCCCAGGAGGGCCGATGTGACTATAGCGAGGGTGACTTTGAAGGAGGCGATTGCTCGCGGTAACGCGTTTTCAGAAGAGAAGGACGCGGAGAGGGAGGTGAGGAGGAAACGTGTGGCTGAGAGGAGGAAGGAGAGGAGGGAGGAGAGGAGGGAGAGGAGGGCGGAGAGGAAACGAGCAGAAGCTGTGAAGATGCATGCACAAGGAAAGCATGCAGCACTGAGTCGATCACAGCAGCGCACGATTCCTGACTGTTGCCTCCCTTGAATCTCCTCCCTTTTCTTCGGTTTGATTCTCGTTCTTCTTGCCTTCCCTTTCCCCTCTAAATCCCTCCCTTGCCCTCCTCCCATCTCTGTTATCTTCCTCACACCTCCCTCCTCATCCCCCCTGTCCTCCTCCTCATCCTCCTCCTGCTCCTCCTCCCCCTCTTCCCCCTCTTCCTCCCCACCCACCCCTCCCTGGTCCCCTCCAGCAACCGCTATAGTCACATCGATTAAAGACAACACCTGGGGCATGCGTGCGTGCTCATGGGACAACCGTCTGGTGAAAGAGCTGGTTTCAGAGTGGTGGAGTGCGGTGCAGGAAGCAGACGAGCGTCTACTAGCAGTGGTCTCAGCAGCACCGCTTGAAGCGTGGGGAAGGCCAGAGGAGGAGCGAGAAGAGCGATTATTAGTAGCGCCAGCACCACTTAAAGCGTGGGGTAGGGCTGTGGGGTAGGGGAGGGAAGGGCTGCTGCTGGCAGATGGAGGGGTGTTGGTGGTGGGGTGGTTGCCTGTGGCAGCAGCAGCATGAGCAGCAGGCAGAATAGGAGGAAGAGGAGGAGCAGGAGCAGCAGCAGAGTTTTTGGATTCGACGAAAGTGGAAGCAGCAGGAGTGGCAGCAGCAGGGGATTCTGTAAACAGTTGCTTTGGTTCCACGTGCGACTGTCTAGCCCTCCCCGCACTGCCTCCCTGCATGCTGTCGCCCACACTGCCTTCCTGCATGCTGTCCCGCACACTGCCTCTCTGTATGCTGTCCCGCACGCTCAGACTACCACGCACAGAGCTGTGCCTGCAGCAGGAGGAGGAGTGTGCTTTGGAACCAGACAGAGCAGCACCACCATCAGCACCAGCACCGGCGGCAGCAGCACCACCAGCACCGGCGGCAGCAGCACCACCAGCACCACCAGCACCAGCACCAGCAGCATCACCACCAGCAGCCGCAGCAGCAGCAGCAGCAGCGGCGGCGTTGGCAGAGCGGCAGTGGCGGCAGCAGCAGTCGGAGGCAAGGTGCAGGAGCTGAAGGGCCATCTGACGCGCGTTGAAGAGGAAGAACTGCGATGCCACCAGGCTTGACGCGTGCGTGCTGCTCACAAACGCCCGCGGGTCGTGCGGCGGGGAGTGCGAGGGGGAGTGCGGCGGGGAGTGAGGAGGGAAGTGAGGCGAGGCTGACAACGGGGTTGAGTGCGAAGGGTTGTGAGGAGGAGGCGAGTGTGCGTGGGTGTGAGGGGTTGTGTGCACGAGCACGTGTCCTGACTCCCTCCGCACCAACTTATCATCATCATCACTATCATACAGGCGGTAATACGCGAGCTCTCTGCCGCGCAACAGAGCAGCGTCTAGCTCGATCACTGCTTGCACGCCCTCTCTCAACAGCTGCTCTACATGCCCGTGCACGCACTGCTGCTGCTGCCACCGCCGCCGCCACTGCCCCCACTGCCACCACTTCCGCCACTGTTCCCGCCGTTGCTGCTGCTTTGCTGATTTGGCAGATGCACCAGCAGGAGAAACAGCAGGCAAGCTCTGGCCCACTCCCCTTCCCTCTCCCTCTCCCTCTCCCTCTCCCTCTCCCTCTCCCTCTCCCTCTCCCTCTCCCTCTCCCTCTCCCTCTCTCTCTCCCACTCCTTCTCCCTCCCCGCCTCCCGCTCCCCCTCCCCCGAGCGCCTCAGCAGCATGGGTCAAGCACAGGCCCACAGAGCGAGCAAGCAGCACAAGGGGCGGGCGGAGCTCGTGTAGGAGAGCGAGAGGAGACTCCTTGATCTGCCCTGTGTCCAGAGCCATGCGCATGCCGTGCAGATGCACGTCCACCGCTTGTAACCCCCGGATAACCCTTCCCCACGCCTCCATTTCGCTGGGGCACCGCATGCCTCTCGCACTTGTGGCAGTCGCACTAGCAGTCGCACTTGCACTTGTACTAACACCTGGCCCTGTTGCTGCTGCTGCGGCGCCCTGTGCTGCTGCTTCTGGTGATGGTGCTATTCCCGCCTGTGACTCTCCTGCTTCTCTCGTTCTCTCTCTTTCACCTGTTTGGGAAGTCAAACCGGGTATATGCTGCTGCTGCTTCTGCCTCTGCCCCTGCAACTGCCTCTGTTGCCCCCTCTCCTTCTGTCTCTGTCTCATCTCCACCCCTCTCAACCACACCCGCCACAGGCCCCACCGCACCCAGAACCAGCCCCTCCTTAACGGATCACCCACCTGCTCCTCCCACCATATATCCGCCTCCAGAGCTTTTAACGCGGATATATTAGGCTGGGCCGCCCGCGCCAATATACACACCTGAATCGCCGCAGTCGCCAGCGCCTGAGAATCCACCAAGCAAAACGCCGCAGCGAGAGTGTGGAACTGGGCGGCAGCGCAGCGGGCGGCAAACTGGAGCTTTTGGCGCGCTTGGGAGGAGGCGAGGGCGGGGAAGGGCAACAGCATGGGGAGGAGACCGCAGGAGATACCTAGGAGGGCTGTGCATAGGAAGCGGAGAGGGTATAGCCAGGGTTCAGTCCCAAAGACGTTGCGGGGAGCTGAGGCTGCATCTGGGTAGATTGAATCAGGCCCAACAGCAGACGCAGCAACAGCAGCAGTAGCTGAAGCGTTGCCAGGGGGGATTGCAGCGGTTTGGAACGGTGCAGGGAGGTTGTCTGCAGAACGAAGGACTGCGGCGAATTGGAGGAGAAGGATGGATAGGATTGCAAGGGCCACCTTGCGAGTGAGTGGCGGGATTATAATGAAGGAGAGAACCGCTGTCGCTAAGGCTAGGGTTACCAGCAGAACCGCCGGCGTCGCCCAGAGATCAGTGTATAGCGAAAGGGAGGAGACCACTGGGAGAGGGAATGGGGTTGAGAGAGGGAGTGGGGAGGGAGGGGGAAGGAGCGAAGGCGGGAATCCTGGGGTTGGAGGAGGGTAAAGAGCGGGGGACGGGGGAGGGGGGGCGGAAGGCGGGGAGGATGGCGCAGGCGGCGGCGGAAGCATGAATAGGCGGAAGAGGATGGCGGAAGGGAAGCTGGAGAGAACCGCGCCTGCTAGAGTGTACGTCGCATTGCGGAGGGATGCGCCTAGGGTTTGGTCCGCGACGAGGATGGCGAGGACGGCGGCGAAGAAGGGCACTGGTAACCACGTCGCGAAGGGTTCGTGCAGGACGAGCACCGCTGCGAGGACCGCGGCGGTGGCCGTGCGAAGGCCGAGGAGACAGCGGCTCCAGAAAGTGCGGAGATGCTCGGGCGCAACCATGGCTCGCGCGCGCGGGGAAGATATATTTTAGAAAGTGCCTCGGAAATACGAGATGCGCACGGACGCTGTGATGCTGCGAGATTTTCGACGGTGTACTGCAGGCGGCTATCAGTTGCGCAGGGGCGTTTGATGCGTTACGATGGATGACTGATGTGCAAAGGATGATGATGACGTATCACGGAGGATGCTACGTCGGATGATGCGTTGGAGCTTTGTCATGACAGGCGACCTTAATTACTGCGTCCTGTGTGAGGGTGTAGCTTCGCGGCGTCGCTTCACGCACGGAATGTGATGCGCGTCAAATCCATTCCGGACAGATAGACGGACATAGATGCGCCTTCGGGTGCGGGATCGATAATATGGGGTGACCGGATGGATGGGAGGAGGTGGAACGCGAGCGACATCAATGAGAGTTTCGTTAGATGATGAGATGAGAATCTAAAGAGACAGTATGTAGAGGTAACTTGAGCATGATTGCTTGCAATTGTGGTTTTTGGATCGGCCTAATGGACATATAGAAGTGCGACATCAGCGGTTAAACATGGTTGTCTTGTCGATTCTTCAGCAATTGAGCTATTATGGACTGATGAACAAGAAAAGCAATCTGTTGTCCATCAAATTCCTGAGCTCACCGCAACTGCGGCACTTTTCCCCCCTCATCCTGTATTCTGCTCCCCTCGCCGCGCCATAACAGAATCCAGCACATAGATCTGCACTTCCTTATGAAGGCGCGTCCTCCTGGAAACCAGATCATCGCTCGTGTCTTTCGTGCATGCAGTTACCACAGCTCGATTTCTCAATACAGTTATCGATGAAGCGAATCTCCCGAACAATTCTCTAGCTTCAGTACGCATTGTGGTGGATATCGACGCTTACACGTGGCTGTGTTTCATTGAGTGTCTCTGCTGGAAAATTTGTCACCACGAACATTCGACCGCGTTCCTAGCTGGGAGAGAAAACTGTGAAACTTCATGGGAACCAAAAAAGCCATGGAAAGCAAGGACGATGCCATGTCACTCGAAGCCCTGACCACGTCACCTGCAATACCCGCTGCAAGAATCGTGCAGAACAAGATATCGACGCCTGCAGTGGGAGGCTAGAAGTGGCCATTCAAGTTTCCAAATTTGAATGCTTAGCCTGAACTAGGGGCCCACTCTCAATGCATGAAATATGCATAGCTGACCATACAACTCAATATGTAGCTCCTGCTGGTGAGATGAAGAGACCCTAAATCCTTAAGTTAGATTAAGGCATTAGGAGTGCTTATGCTAGGGGCATTCCATCAATCGCCGTGAAGGGAAGCAAATAATTCCTGCTGCAATATACAAATACAGAATATAATAAACGAGAGAACTGAATATTCACATGTCCGTTACAACAGCTGTAAATCTGGACGTGCAATGTCTTCCAAAGGAGATGCTGGAGGTGGATACGGAGGCGGTGGAGGAGTTTCGGGTGGGGATGATGATGGAGGCCGTGGTTGAGTGGAACAGTCGCTGAATTCCGTGGCACAGGGTGGCTGGTAGCATGGCCCCGCAGGCATGCAGCTGTCTAGTGCCAAGAAACCAGGCTCAACCTTAGGCAATGAAAATCTGTTGATATCGGCCTCCGAAACGACCTGGGGCTGTGAGCCTGAGTGGTGTTGTGGCTGAGGTCTAGGAGGAGGACTTTCGAGAATAGTAGACAACCCTATCTGCAGCCAGTTTGGTGACAACGGCCGGCCTGCAAGAGTAGAGTTTTGTTGCAGTAAGATGGAGCTCGCACACCCAATGCGGGGCCTTGCGCATCCAATGGGATCAGAGAAGTCTTGTGAGCTGGAAACTTCCAATGTAACCATGTCTTGATTGTGCTGTAAACTGTCTTCGGAACAATCTGACAGCATGTCCTGTGTGATTTTTCCTTCTTGAACAAGGTTGCTGTCCCTGCATGTTGAGGGTTTTAACTGGCTCTCCTGGCACGAGTTTCGCACAGTGGCCTCTGAAAATAATAAACATCATAGAGTCAGAATCTGCACTTTCAGGTTGCTTGAAAAATATAGCAGGCATGTCAAAAAGCTCGTGGACATACCTGTTGGAGTGTTATGGTGTGTTGCCAAGTCTGATGACAAGCTCCCTTCTGGCGTGCACGAGCTGTACTCTTCCCACATTTGCTTAGTGATCACGTCACCCACCCTGCTCGTGGACTCAGGGATCAGCTTTTCCTGAGACGCCAAGACATAAATTGGCTCTGCGTGTTCCGAAACTTCGTTCACGCCCAAGTCAACTCCATGCACCTGTTCAGAGTCACATGATTCTTCTCTCTGCAATGCTTCCCAAACAATTTCACGAAGGTACTTGAGGAAGCCTAGGGTAGAGGAAACTCCATTTTGATTTAAAGTGTCTGGGCCTGCCTCAGAAAACAACACCCATAGCATGTCAGAATGCATCAGAGAGGCTATTGGACAAAAACAAGAGATGATCTGAAGCTCACCTGCAATGGCCTTGGGGGGAAGCTTGGACAAATTTCTCAACTCTGGGTCCACGTGCATACTTGCAGCATTGTTGGCAAAATGTTTTTGCGGATTCACAGCCTCCCAATGACCTCGCACCCATTCCCGTGATCGTCGAAGGAACTTCTTATGCACAAACTTGATATCTCCAGGACCTGCATTTGCGTTATGAGTGAGAATGATGGCGATTAGTCTGCACCTGCTGAATGTGAAAATGGTTTACCAAGCAAGTGCACAGCGACAAAGCCATTCGTCCACGAATGAACAGCAATGGCTTCCCACCATCTGTCACACCATCTGACATCCACAAGTTCTCCGTCCTCAAAAAAGGCTCCATCGCAATCATGAAGCTGGTAAGGTCGGACACAGTTTCGATGTGAATATCTGAAGCCATATTTGTCAGCACCTCCCAGTTGCCTCAGAAGGACCCATTCCTGCATAGCAGGCGCAGTTTAGCTTGACACTGGACCACACTCAGTGGCAAACGAATCTGGATTCTGCCTTACCTCCTTATCTTCGCCAGAAATGCTTCTGGGAGTGAAGTAGCGCACTTTGACCTCCAGCGGCCTTGAGAAAACGACTTCAGCCGGCCGCCAACAAAGTCGTGACACGTCATCATTCAGAACCTCAACCATACTTCCGACAGACGCGTCCCATATCTCCTTCTTTTCCGTCATAGCAAGCTCCCCAGGCTGATTTTGTCCCTCATCCTCAACTCGGCCATCAGCTTCGTCAGCATCCATGTCAGAGTCAGATAAATTGAAGGACTGCATAGAAGAGCATTTCACCTCAGGACTGTTTAGACACGCCAGCAATTTGTGCTTCGGAACCCTCTGCGTCCGGGGTTTCGTCAGTCTCTGGCCAACCTTGCCATTTCGTGACTCGAGCACCTCAGCAGCTTCATCACAGCAAGCCTGCACCAGAATACCCTGGGAGTAATAACCTTGAAAACTCTCAATCCGAACTCGGCGAATTTTACCCCCATCTACTTTCCGGTAACACATGAAGCAGCTGCTTTTCTCGCGGGAAAGCAGGCTCGCTGCGCGCTTGGCAAAGTGAGCTTGGGATAGAACCGTCACCACTCTCTTGACAGCGTCAATCGGAACAGTGTCAGAAGTCGATGTAAAAAATAGCTCGTGTTCGTGAGCGTCAGCTACCTCCACACCGTAGTGGGCCTTCAAATCCCTTGGATTCTCAAACCATTGCAGGCTCGCTCTGGGATTGAGGTCTTTCTCGTATATCAGGCGCTTGAAGAACGCAATTCTCGTGCGTCCGTTGCACGTCGCCTCCACGAAGCTCCACAACTGAAGGCAAACATGATCAATTATGAGAAAAAGACGAGCTCCCACAGAACGTGCGCGAACAAGCCATATCAAATTTACCGCCACGTCTTCGCTGACTTTTAAAGAGCTTTCTTCAGGGCTTGATGAACAGTACGTTGCACAATCCGTTTCGTTTGCAGGCTCATCTTTGATAAGCAGACTGGCATTCTGTACTGACAGGCAACCTGCCTCATATTCATCCTTCGCTGTTAGTCCTGCGGAAAAAAAAGGTCAATGGCAGGTCAAGGACCTTCGGTGTTTCAGTACCTTTCAGAATTCATATAACTTACTGCGTCGTTTGGAAGGCGGTGTCAAGCGAATCAGGCTTTCAAGCCATCCCTCTAGTTCCCGTCGTGTACGGTACTTGGATTTTGGAACCTTCTTCGCCCCAATAGGGTACCTGAAAGTCTCAGGGATGGTGAAGATCATGTGGCGTACACTGCGTTCAACGCCAACTGCGGCGAGGACTGCAGCACCGTCCACAGTATGGAGAACGAAGTGGAGAAGTCGGTTGCCTCGCGTTAGGCGGACAGGGATCTCCTGCCAGGAGGCATAGTAAGGAGGCCTCCCATCCTCCCTATCGAGAGCCATCGTCAGTCCAACCTCGTTGATTCCTGGCCCTGGGGTCAGAAAGGCCTGAATGATCGTCTTTTGCTGGCCTTGGGGCCCTGTTGAATGCTGGGTTGCATAATGGGAGCCCTGGATTTTGACGAGCTCATCCGCGAATTCAACTTTTTGAGGCTCATCTCATTATCCAAAATGCTGCGCGAAAATCCTTCCCTCTAACATTCATACAGAAACTCGTTATGGGTATCTTCACAAAGGATTTCCATACACCTTGACAAACAACCCTATAAATACGAATTAGATGAAATAATTTGATTACGAAACCATCAAAACATAGATGTTACAGAAGTTCAATAAATGAAAAGATAGTTACTTTGATAATATACAAATATTATTCGGTGTATTTATCACAAATCCTTTTATTATATAGTATGCGTTAGAGGAATTTGAGCAATTAAGTCCAAGACTTATGTGATTGCAAAATCAGCAGAAAATGATCAAATTTCTTTATGGATGATGCATAGTGTGTCTTCCACTCGTACATAATAATTTTGGAGAAATGCTCCAACCTTTTAGGGAATGGATTCAGTGCTTACATCCTCAATACTAGCCTGCCTGTGTTTCACAACAACTGACGCACAGACCCAAACAGTCTAAATATAAACTCCATGCTATGCTGCCACGTGGCATCAAGCCAAGCGCATGTCACTTAGAAGCGCCATGGCGATAAAAGGCGACGTGAGTTCCCGTCGACGTTTCTCTAGCCCAGCCAGGTGCGGCGACTGATGGGGAATAATGAGCAGATCGCGGCTTGATGCTCCAGCAAGGAGGAGGCCCGGAGGTGCCGAGAGGAAAGAGTCCGAGAGACGGAAGATCGTGAGCGTGAGAATACGCCCTTTCTCATCTCCGTTCGGGCGGGTTAGGAGTACGAGGCAGATAGAGGCAGAGCTTTGTGAAGCCTTTCTTTGTAACCATATCTCAGATACATTAAGGACACTGACGACACTGCAGGGACGGGAGGAACTGGAGACACTGCAGACACTTCAGACATCGTTATCTCGGAAACCAACCAGAGATACCCTGGGAGCTCACCAGAAGAACACCCTATTCCTCCGTGCAGTGACGGCAAACTGTGAGTGTCAGAGCAGACATGGCTATATGGAAAGCAGCTGCGTCGCTGCTATCTCTTCGCTCCGCAGGTGGAGGCCCCTCCTTTCCTCACGCGCTCAGAGGAGGAGTTGTGGTGACACGGCGCAGCTCCGCCTATCATCTCACCACCACTGGTGATACCTCGGAAGCAGGACGCAGCAACGTCGCGAATGGCAGCAGGAACGACCGCATACCCTCTGTCTCCGCCTTGGGAGTTTCCCAAGCCTCCGGTTTCCGCACTTACTTCACCAACCATCCATCCATCCAACCTTACAGAGCCAAGAGCAACATGATTACGCAGGAGTTTCGAGAGAAGGAGCGGGAGCAGGCAGCACTAGCCAAGCAGTACGGGGTTGCAGCAGATGTTGGTTCAGACAGCACTGCTGGTAGGGAAGCCCAGGCTCCTGATAAAGCCGGTGCTGATGCTGATGATAGTCCAGCTGCTGGTGATTCTGGTTCCACTGGCCACACTGCGAGTTCCCACCAGTCCTCGGCAGCCAGGCGGCTCGGGCTCGACCTGCCTCAGTCCGGTGTGGGCCCGACCCAGGAGAATGTGGCTCGGGCAAAGGAGGTTCGGGAGATTGCAAAGCATCCTCCTGATGCCGGTGCAGCTGGTGAAGGGGCTAGCCCAGGGGCTGGTCTGGGCCCTGGGATAGTGGATGTGGCACATGGTACTAAAGAGGATTCTTAGATACTAGTGTTGGGAAAGTGTTGACTCATTACTCGTCATTGTTGAAATGCATCCATGTATAGGGAGCGGATAACTGCAATACAGAGGCACTGTTTGGAGCTCCAGCTGTACACAGGTTCTTGACCAGAAGTCAAACGAGTAGGTATAAGTTGTAGGTATGGTATTATCCAAACATTTACACCGAGCACACCTACCATATGATTGATACATTTTATGGTTAGAGCAGTACGCATTGGCAGACAGCTAGCCTTATTACCAATATTACGCAAACGAATCACGGAGTTCATAGGTCAGAGCAGATTTATAATTTAGTTAAATCTGCTCCCAGGTTAAGTCTAGGTATTGATTTGAGAGTCAGACGCGCAAGGCACATCAACAGGAACAGGAACAGGGACAGGGATATCTTGGTCAGGCGGAGAAGGCGAAGAGGAGGAAGAGGAAGGAGGCGAGCGTGAGGAAGGATTTGATGATCAGGGGGCGGTGCGAGTGTGCGATGTCCAACTGCTGCAGCAGCATGCCGTGCGTTTGCTGCATCTGCAGCAGCGACTCTGACAGCCCGTCGTCAATGCTGCATGGTTAGGGATGGGGAGTCGGGGAATAGAAAGAGTGGCGACATGAGTAATTTCTTCCATGCGGAGCTTCACACGCATGCTCACATGCTCACATGCTCACATCCGCCGTTATAGCGCCACCCTCTCCCCCATCCCCAGCCACATCCCAATTCCCACCCCAATTTTTCTTATGGGTCGACTCAAACACCCTTCTTTTGCATCGACTCAAAAGCCGAAGAAGGGTGAGAAGGGGACCTCTGCAAGCTGATTCCTGGCCGGGTTCTTCCTGTGCAGTGGGTGGTGTTTTGTTTCCAGTCGACTCAAAACACGACTCCTGGCCATGTTCCTGTGCAGTGGGTGCAATGGGAGGAAGGATGCGCTTCGATTTGACCCATGTGTAATGTTCCCAGCATGCTATGGGAGAGCTTGAGATGAGCGAAGGAGAGAGGGCAGGGAGCGACTTTTGAGGCGCCTCAAAAGTAGGCATGGGCATTTGGCCCGGACGGATCGGGTCAGGAATGCTGAGAATGTCGACCCGCCCGGGTCGGGTCGGGTATACCCGGACGGGTCGGGTCGACCCGTGACCCGTCAATGTGATTTAAGGACGGGTATCAGCGACCTGCCGGGTCAGGTTGACACGTCCCGTCCGGGTCGCGTACCCAGTCAAATGACAGGGATACCCGACCTGTTCTCTGATTAGGGTACACTCTGGAGAGGGGGATCAGGTGGTTTTGATGTTTTTTGTTCCTCGACATCTTGATCTAGTCCCTAGACCAGATCAAGCTAGTAGCTCTGCACCGCACCTACCAAGCCTCCTACAGTCTTCACTTCAATGTTAGCACTACTTTGCACTTTATATTCAGGTTAAGCATAGGCGCGCCCGACATGTCGCAGCGTCGCGCGACCAGGGGCGCAGCAGCGCGATCGTGGCCACGCATTAGCGCGATCGCGGCTCTGCATTAGTGCAGCAACATTGCGCCACGCATTGGCGCGATCGCATCCCCGCAATAGCGCGCTCGCGGTCCCGCATTAGCGGACGTCCGCCACAGGCCCAGCATTAGCGCGATAGCAGCCTTGCATACTCTGTAGCATATTTTGACCCGACCCGACCCGACCCCTCTGTAGCCGGCCCGGGTACGGGTCACAAATACCCGTTCCAACGGGGCGGATCGGGTCACCAAAACAGAGTAAAACTCGACCCGCAGACCCGACCCGACCCGACCCGTTACTGTAACGGGTCGCCCTACACGGGACGGGTCGGGCCGGGTCGGGCCAGATGCCCATGCCTACTGAAAAGTCACCTTGCAATGGGAGGAAGGAAGGATGCGCTTTGATTTGACCCATGTGTAATGTTCCCAGCATGCTATGGGAAAGCTTGAGACGAGGGAAGGAGAGAGGGCAGGGAGCGAGCGAGCGAGGGTGTAGAAATGCTGGATGGCGGAGAGAGAGGCAAGGAAGTGCCAGAGCGCAGTTGGCAGTGAGTGAGTGAGTGAGCGAGCGAGCGAGCGAGCGAGCCTGCGTGCTTGCGTGCGTGCGTGCGTGCGTGCGTGCGTGCGTGCGTGCGTGCGTGCGTGCGTGCGTGCGTGCGTGCGTGCGTGAGTGCGTGCGTGCGTGCGTGCGTGCGTGCGTGCGTGCGTGCGTGCGTGCGTGCGTGCGTGCGTGCGTGCGTGCGTGTGTGTGTTGAGAGGCGCCTCAGCCTCAGCAATCTACCATGCCACGGTTACTACTAGTAGTCGGTTCGGTAGCCACACCACACGCACTCACAGGAATTGCAGCTCACGGAGAGTGCCAATGACGGTGGGTATGCTGCCTTTGATACCCTTGTTGTACACGCCCCTGCATGTGGGGCACGTGGAGCATGCGGGGCACGTGGAGCATGTGGGGCACGCGTGGAGCACGTGGGGCATGCGGGGCATGCAAACGAGCAGGCAGGCACGAGGTGAGCTCCATGAGGCGAAACGGTGCATTAGGGCCTATGTGGATAATGTACAGAACATGATTTAGCTGACTCAAACATTTCTCAGTCGACTCAAAAATCGACTCATTACACGGAGTTTTTATACTGAAAAGTTATCTGTTGCTTGGCAGGTTGGAAAGAGTGTACACAGAGAGAACGCTCGTTCTAGCCAGACTTCCGAGCGAACGCAATCGGCCAGTTAAACTTTCCGGCCAAGGGTAGTTGGAAGCTTTGCTTCAACTATTTTCTAGTGCTGTCCTCTTAGTTTGTTGTTAGGATCGTGGGATTACGGCACTGATGAAAGTCCGACCGAGTATTCCCGTGTAAAAGCCGAAACATGTTTTAAACAAAAGGCCATGTTCTGTTCTTCGCAAGCCTTTTCTTTAGCTGGGAGGACTATAACCCTACTGCTGAAGGGTTCCTTCCAACTTGTTTCTCTTCCTCATGAGTGGGGGACCCTTGGGACCTCACACATTCCGGTAATACGAAGCAAGCGAAATAGGTAGCAAACGAAGACCAAGCAAACGAATCCACAAACAGAACAAGCAGCCGACAGAACTGTCTATGGTGCCTTAGTAGTCAACTCAGCTCAGGAGGGGGTCCATCCGTGAGACTACTCACACCACATGGCAAAGATGCCGCAAAGGCTATTGCAGGCAACGCCCTTCATGTTGGCACAGTCGTGTTTTGAGTCAACCCAAAACAGGGAGTCAGTCACTGAGTCGAATCAGTTCAACAGGGGGTCACTGAGATGAGAGTCCACTCACAAAGCATAGATCTCGCCAAAGAAACTGCAGGCAACGCCCTTCATGTCACCGTTGAAACAGTCTGTGCTAGACGTCCACGTCTCACTGCCGTTGAACGCGCCCCACTCTCGCTTCAACGCCTGCAGGACCGTCACTGGAGGGGGGCGGGGGGGAGGGGAAGGGGGGGCTTCTGAGTCGACTCAAAACGCCAGACGAGACGTCCACCCACGTCTCACTGCCGCTGAACGCGCCCCACTCTCGCTTCAACGCCTGCAGGACCGACACTGGAGGTGGACGGGGGGGAGGGGTTGGTTGGGGGAGGGGGGTTGTGGGGCGGGGAGGGGAGACGGGGAGGGAGAAAGGGAGGGGGGAGGGGGGGGGGGGAGAGGGAGAGGGGGAGAGGGGGAGAGGGGGAGAGGGTGGAATGGAAAAAGAGAACGATTCTCACAAGAACGCAAGAAGGTACAGGGCTGGAACCACGTGTCCCCACAACACGTGCTCTCTACAAAATCGTTCCTGGATCCACGTGTTGTGTCGGCACTCATTTTGTAGGAAGCTCATCTCCCAGAGGTCCGGAGGAGGGACCGATCTTGGGATGGAGGAGCGAGGGTAGGTAGCATAGGGAGGTCAAGTCAAAGTTTCTTACATTCAGAGGCTAATACAGTTGCCGCGTGGGTGCCTGGCAGGTAGGGAAGAGGCGAAACCGCTGCGAGGGCGACGATGGCGACGGCGATGGTCATGGCGACAGCCATGGGAGTGACGCGACTCGCCATGGGCGTGACGCGACTCGCCATGGGGGTTAGTATGCGGGTACCGCTGCTGCTACTCGTGGCGCTAGGAGAACTTCTGCTGGTGCAGCCGCCGCTTCTGTCGCTGTCGCTGCTGCTGCTGCTGGTACTGCCAGTTATGTGAAAGGCCATGCTGTGGTTGGTCTGTGTGGAGAAACTGTTTTGCTAAGCCACAAAATTCAACTCATTCTGTGTGGGGAAACAGCAACACCTTAACTTCGGAACCTGCGGCTCTCCTGCTGATGATGCTGCTACTGCTGCTGAGGATTCAGGCCTTCTCGCGGCGGTAGCAAGACCCCCGAAACAAGTAAAAGGCGACGAGGACGTGGGAGGAAATCAGGACGAGGGGCCGGCGACGAGGGAAGAAAAGGAGACTGTCCGGGCGTGGGATCTCGGGAAAAAAAACAAAAAAAAAAACGACTCGAGTCTTGCTTTTCAGCGCCGCTTCAACAGTCGTCGGATTGGATCAAATAATATATGTCGCACGAAAGTCTTGCGCTCGGAGAGAATTGGAAAACTCCTTTGAAGAAACTAGAGATCGTTCGGAGTTATCCACGCAGACGCTCTTCACAGAGGAGCTCGGCGGGCCTACTATAGCTTAGTAAGCTGTGGCACCGCTTCGCGGCTGGCGCCGCCGGCGCCAACGGAACGGCGGACGAAAAAGTGTGACCTTGAGACAGCTGCCGGCCTAAACTTGAGAATTCCCTACTGTGAACTCCTAAGCGACGCTGAGGGACGCTGCGACGCGGCTAATTGGCTCGCGACGCCTGCGACGCGGCTAATTGGCTCGCGACCTGCTACGCGGCTGATTGGCTTGCGACGCTGAGAGAGCGACGACACGCTGCACGACCGCCTCCACTTCTACTGACGGACAAACGCCTCTCCCCAGATTTTGACGAATGCGGTCAATGCTCGCACCGCAAGTGCAGAACAAAGGTCCTACTTTTCACTCCGCATCAGAACGGTGAAACTTACAAGCTTCACCACCTTCTCAGCCTTACACAGACGGACTGTCAGTGAGTTGAGATTGGGTTGAGTTTTCCTGCCACTTTGTTCCAGCACGTAGACCTAGATTGGGGGTGCATTCTGGGGCCTGGCCTGGACAAGTGTCAGACTTGGGGTCATCTCTTCTTCCCAACAAGCGAAAAAATAGACCTGCTTGCGACCAATGACGAGAGGAAAACCCGTTCAGAAGCACTTTTCTTCCCGAGTAGCCGAAACGACGGTGGTCGGTGGAAGGAAAAGGTATGTACTGTACACGTAGTGCTTGATTGAGAAGAGTGTCGTGTCGATCTGGGGCCGGCGATACTGTACAGTATGATCCACAGTCAGCTCACTGAGGGCCGGAAAGGGGCAGGAAATAGGGGCTGCTGAAAGTGCGGAAATGTGATTGTACGGCCTATTAGATTTCCTACCACAGCCGCCTCCTACAGTTACTTGATTTGACAAACACCTTGCTAAACCTTGACTTCCACTTGATTTTGGCAATGCTATCATGTACATAAATCAC